AGCTCTCTAGTTATTTTCTATTATATACATATATGTGTGTGTGTGTATATATCTATCTATCTATCTCTCTCTATATATGGTTATAGTCTATTTTCACTGGGTGAATCCTTAGCTGTACAATGGAAGGCTTCTAAGGATCTTGACACATATTAATAATATATCATTCTGTTGACACTTTTCTAACATTTAGCATGTTCAGAATCTGGTTTTTTTTTTTTTTTTTTTTTTTTTTCCGAGACAGGGTTTCTCTGTGTAGCTTTGCGCCTTTCCTGGAACTCACTTGGTAGCCCAGGCTGGCCTCGAACTCACAGAGATCCGCCTGGCTCTGCCTCCCGAGTGCTGGGATTAAAGGCGTGCGCCACCACCGCCCGGCAGAATCTGGTTTTTGAAAGGTACTTTTTAATAAAATTTTTGCAAAGTGTTTATCCATTTTCCTCCACAAGTTTTACCTTTTTGTGTGTGGTTCTTTTGACTGAGAAGTGATTTTTTTTTGTTTTAGTAATTTGTAAAGTGCTATTCAGAGCTTCCTTTTCATAATTTTAAGTGTTTCTTTTTAAAATTATGTGTACTTGTGTGTATGTGCACACGAGTGCAAGTGCTCATGAAGCTGGAGGTCACAGGGGTCAGATCATGGGTATGAGCCACCTGATGTGGGTTCTGGGAACCTATCTTGAATTTTCTGCCAGGGTAGTGTATGCTGTGGACCACTCAGCCATCCTTCCATCCCTCTTTTTTATAATTTTCAAGAAAAAAATTATTTGTGAGTTTTTGACGGTAAGGTTTATTGAATTATAACAAAACAACAACAACAACAACAAACCCAGACTAGTTTAGACTTAGGTTGTAAGTTGGATTGGAAATAAGGCCTGGAGCTTAACAGAGCCACCACGCTGGGAAGTAGAGTGAGACAAGGCGCTCTGTTTGGAGAGGATGGTGGTGCTGTGGGAGGGGTGCTTATTAAAAGAAGGGTGGGAACTGGCCCTGGAGTTAACCACTGCGAAGCTGTGAGGCAGAAAAGAGCAGGAGGATGTTAGAGCACTTCAGAAGCTAAGGAAAAAGGCTCAAGAAGTAGGCTGAAGGAAAAAATTAGATGAGTGTGACTCTTCCGCCATATCATTAAAATGTAAATTCAGATTATGAGTTAAAAGTATAGCACTCTTGGTGTAATTGACAGAAAAATCAAACTCACCTACAAATGTCCAGAATCTTTAAAGCTACAATAATCTTGACATTGTCGTATTGGTGACAATATAAGTAGTAGGTAGATCAGTGGAGTAGAATAGAGAATTTGGAACTAGACCACAAATTTATTGTCAGTTCGTTTTCTAGAGAGGTGCAAAAGTAATTCAGTACAGGGAGGCTATTCCTTTCAACAAATGAAGCTGGAGCAACTGGATATCTAGTTGTAAAAAATTCATTTCCAGGTCTGAGAGATGGCACAGTGGATAAAGGTGCTTGTTGCCAAGCTTGACAGCCTGAGTTGGATCCTTGGAACTCACATGGTGGAAGGAGAGGACCAACTTCTGCCAAGTTGTACTCCAACCTTTACAAGCATGATGTGGATCACCCATAAATATGAATTAAAAGAACTCATTTTCTATCTTTTAATATTTATAAAAACTAGTTCAAGTGAGTCCTAGACCTAAAATTCTATAGCGTATGACATATAAGAAATCATTGTGAAACTATGTTAGAGAAAACTTTCATAGATAATCACTAAAAGTATGAGCCATAAAAGAAAAAAAAACAACAAATTGAGTTAAACCAAATTTTAAAGCTACTACTCTTTGAAATACATCATTTAAGAAAATGAAAGGCTGGATCTTGGGGGAGATGGATTCCCAATTTTCTAAGAAAGCGCCATATTGATTTCCAAAGTGGTTGTACAAGCTTGCATTCCCACCAGCAGTGGAGGAGAGTTCCCCTAGCTCCACATCCTCTCCAGCATAAGGTGTCTTCAGTGTTTTTGATCTTAGCCATTCTGACAGGCGTAAGGTGGTATCTCAGAGTTGTTTTGATTTGCATTTCCCTGATGATTAGGGATGTTGAGCAGTTCCTTAAATGTCTTTCGGCCATTTGAGTTTCCTCTGTTGAGAATTCTCTGTTTAGCTCTATAGCCCATTTCTTAATTGGACTGTTGGGCATTTTGATGTCTAATTTCTTGAATTCCTTATATATTCTGGATATCAGTCCTCTGTCAGATGTGGGGTTGGTGAAGATCTTTTCCCATTCTGTAGGCTGTCGCTTTGCCTTGTTGACCGTATCCTTTGCTCTACAAAAGCTTCTCAGTTTCAAGAGGTCCCATTGATTGATTGTTTGTCTCAGAGTCTGTGCTACTGGTGTTCTATTTAGGAAGTAGTCTCCTATGCCAATGCGTTCAAGACTACTTCCTACTTTCTCTTCTAGCAGGTTCAGAGTAGCTGGATTTATGTTGAGGTCCTTGATCCACTTGGACTTAAGTTTTGTGCACGGTGACAGCCCGAACTGACCTACTCTGGTGATGGGATGGCCAAACACCCTAATTGTTGTGCTAGAAACCTCATCCAACTACTGAGGGATCTGGATGCAGAGATCCATGACTAGGCCCCGGGTGGATCTCTGGGAGTCCAATTAGCGAGAATGAGGAGGGTTTATATGAGCGAGAATTGTTGAGACCAAGGTTGGATAAAGCACAGGGACAAATAGCCAAATGAATGGAAACACATGAACTATGAACCAATGGCTGAGGGGTCCCCACTGGATCAGGCCCTCTGAATGGATGAGACAGTTGATTGGCTTGATCTGTTTGGGAGGCATCCAGGCAGTGGGACCAGATCTTGTGCTCATTGCATGAGTTGGCTGTTTGAAACCTGGGGCCTATGCAGGATTGTTTGGCTCGGCCTGGGAGGAGGGGACTAGACCTACCTGGACTGAGTCTACCAGGTTGACCTCAGTCTGTGGGGAAGGCTTTGCCCTGGAGGAGATGGGAATGGGGGGGGGGGGTTGGGGGGAAGGTGAGGGGGACGGGAGGGGGGGAGAACAAGGGAATCCGTGGCTGATATGTAGAACTGAATTGTATTGCAAAATAAATTAATAAAAAAAAAAAAAAAAAAAAAAAAAAAAAAAAGAAAATGAAAGGCTGGGGAGATGAGTCAGTGAACAAAATGCTTGCTATATAAGCATGAAGACCTGACTTAGATTACCAGCACTCAAGCAAAGAGCTGTAAGTCCTGTCCTGGGGCAAGGGCAGCAGCAGAGACAGGTCAGTTGTGGGGGGTCCCCTCACTAGCCAGTCTAGCTGTAGCAGTAAAGTTAAGGTCCAATAAGAACCCTGTCCTAAAAGATAGTGGAGAGCAATTGAGTAAGATAGCCAAAGTTGACCTCTAGCTTACACACACACACACACACACACACACACACACACACACACACACACACACGAAAGAGAGAGAGAGAGAGAGAGAGAGAGAGAGAGAGAGAGAGAGAGAGAGAGAGAGAGAGAGCTGATAGATATATTTACCCATATAATTACTAAGGATTAGAACTTTCTGGTCACAAAAGGGTTCTCTTACCATCTTTATAGTCATTCCCCAGCACATCTCCTTGTCCCTGGGTAGCTGCTGATCTAGTTTCTGACATTAATGATGAGTTTTTATCTTTTCTGGAACTGTGTATGGAAGAATATGCTACTATTTTGAGTCTAGCTTTTTCTTTTTTGGTGACTTTTTCTCAATGTAATGATTTTGACTTCTCTGTTGCTACATTTATTAGTACTTTCCCTTTTGTTAGATAGCATCTGTTACAGACTTCTATTACAGTTTGCTTATAGAGTTTCCTGTGGTTATTTCTATTATATTTCTATTATTTATATTATTTCTATTGCTATTGTATTTGGTTCGCTTCTAGTTTGGGACTACTTTTATTAGTAGTGTTTTAATTTCTTCTGGGCATAAGTATTGAGAGTAGAATTGCTAAGTGATGTGGAAGTATATATTTAGGTTTACAGAAACAGGCCAAACTTGTTTTTCAAAATAGTCATACCATTTTCAGTTTATTATTGACATTCACTTGTCTTCTTACACTTCTTCCTTACTAATCATTAATATTGTAATTCTTTTTAAATTTCAATTACTCTTATGGATCTATAGCTATATTTAAAAGTATTTATATTAGAAGGAAAGGTTTATAGTTGGATAATGGTAAATTATCTAATATCTATAATCATTTGGTAGTCCGATACTCTCATTCTTCAGCTGGTACATGAGAGTCCAGATGTGTAAAATGTCTTACATCTGACCTCTCAGGAAGTAGTTCTGTCTGCTCATTAGACCATTAGATAATCTGACACTTCATTTTATCTTAATATGATCCAGATTTTACCTACAAGATATATACATTTAGAAGGTGGCATATACTGTTGAGGGGAAAGGATGATACTGAAAACATAGTCTACTTACAGTGTTAGCCATTTCTCATCTGTTACTAAGTGTATGCTGGACACTATGCCCAAGGCTTTAAACATAGTCTCATTTAATTCTTATTAACTGAGATTTGCATTCAATCCATTGTGTAGGTGGATTATTTAAGAAATTGCACAAAGCCAGTGAATGCTTGAATGAACAAAAGGAAATAAAAACGGATAAATTAGAGCAAAAGAAGTATACCCTAATAAGTGAGACAGCTTTTTTTCTGGAAAAAAATTTAAAGTTATAAAATTACAGAATATTTTAATGTGGCTCTAATAATATTGGGCTACTAAGAAACTGTTTCAAAGAACTGACAGATTCTGAGTTTCCCAAAGTAGTTTAACTTTTTAATCCTCCTTGTAATTTTTTTGCCTTATAATTTAAATTTTGAGTGTTTATATTAATATAAAGTAAAATATTTTCAAGTATATGCCATTATAAGAATTTAAAAATACATTTTTATGTTTGATGAGGAAAATCATATGTAATTCAGCTTTAGCATGGTATCCGGTGTGTGAATGACTTAATAAAATATTTGAACCTTTTTATTCCTAGGAAGGATATATTCAAAAGAAGAAGGAACTCTGGGGCATCTGTATCTTTGTTGCAGCAGTTGACCTAGATGAGATGCCATTCACTTTTACTGAGCTACAGAAGACCATAGAAACCAGGTAAAAACTCTGTCATAAAAGTTCTGCCATTTAAAAAGTGCTTTTAAAGTTTTAATACACTTTAAGAAATTGGTGGAAATGCTATGATTAAATTAAACATAACAGATTCAGGACAAATAGTGACTTGCCGTTCTCTGGTAGGGTTGGTTGAAGTTTAGATTTTTTTTTTTAAAGAATTTATTTTTTCTTTTATGTTTTGCCTGCATGTAAGTGCGCCATGTGCAGTGCCTGAAGAGAGCAGCAGTTCCTTTGGAACTGGAATTATGGGTGGTGTGAGTCATCATGTGAGCACTAGGAACTGAACCCTTGTCCCCTGGTGTTCACGTGCACCTGCACATACTACCCATATAAAGACACGCACGCGCACGCACACGCGCGCGCGCGCGCGCGCACACACACGCACACACATGCACACACTTACACACATACACACCCCTAATTAGAAGTAAAAAAATATAAATCTTTTAAAAAGTAGTGAGTCTGTCTTAAATAAGATTTATTTAACTTCAAGATTTTAGCATAGTAGATGTTTTAATTATGTACATTTAAAAACTGCTATATATTCAGTATTGATTATAACACTTGACCCAGAAATTCCTTAGCACATATTTTTTTTACCTTTAAAAGTATATTAATTTGTTCTCAAGTAATTAGCAGATTTTGTATTAAATGAACTTACAGGACTTCTGTTATTTCCTTTGTAGTATATTTACAAAACACAGCAGTAAGTAATTTTACCAGATTGGTAAATAAATGTATTTCTTCTGAAGTGAGATAATCTATAATGAAATATAATTGGCATTTTAGTTAAATTAAGTAGATTTAATTACTACATTTTATAGCACTTTTCTTACTACCTTTAAATGAAGTATGGAAACAAAGGCTTTGTACAAATACATAAATACATACATATATATCTTAAAAGATAGCATAAAGATAGCATAAAGAGTTCACAAGAGTCAATGCCTGTAACACCACAGGCACTAAACTCCTCTCTGCTGTCTCTTAAATTACCCTTAGAAAAAGACAACTTTGTTATAACAAGTTTCCATGGTGTTCATTACCTCTCAGGACAGGTATTGTTGTACTCCTGTAAACATTGGACTGTTCTAAGGTTGATTTCTTTTTTTCTGGGTTCTTTACATTTTCTCAATATACTTCTTTTTTTCTTTCTTTTCTCCCACACCCTCTTCTTTTCTTCTAACCATACGAAGCATAAGTAAATGTAAACAAGGGACCTCATGGAGAAGATTATTCATTCTTTGACCCAAGCCCTCTGTTTCAATTTTAGCATTTCTTACTAGCTTTCTAAACTGTTAAGATGAAATTTCAAAGCAGTTTTTTCTAGTGAGCATCTTGATATGTATTGTCTTCTGCCATTCCTGCTTCCTTATTTCCTTTTCCACGTAGCTTATCAACACTGCCTCATCCCCTCTATGTCTTGTCATGAAAACTTGTAATTCCCTCTGTCAAGTGTTCTTTGCCTCCTGCTGATGAGCTCAGCCTTTTTTGTTTGTTTGGTTTGAGGTGTAATCTCGTATTGTCCAGGTGGGTCTCAAACTCCTAGACCTAATTGATCTACCTTAGATTCCTCAGTGCTAGGACTATAGACATGTGCTATCTTACCTGCTGTAGCTGAGGATGTTTCTGGTTGTTGGACAGTCTATAACAGTTCTAGTGACTCCTCTTTGGTTCACTTAGCTGCTTTGGTATAATCTCATATACAAAGTTAATTAGAAATTAATGTATGAAGTCAGGCGTAATGGTGCATGGCAGGCTGATCGCTGAGTTCAAGACCAGGTTGGTCTACATAGTATGTTCCAGGTCAGTCAGGGATATGTAGTGAGATCTTGTGTCAGGAGTAGTAAGAAGAGGAGATGATAATTGATGTATGAGTTGTATCTGATAACTTCTGTCTTCACTGCCCTAATGAAAGGATGTATATTGAAGATTAGTTTTTATAGAAAACAATAATGAATGAGTAGAAGTCGTTTAACAATTTAAAATTTTAGCCAGCTTTTCTTTTTCTTTCTCCAAATATTCAGTCTTGAAGCTTTTGGTAAGGCAAAGGAAATGCCAAGTGGTGCAGAAAAGGTATCAGAGCAAGGTGAGGTAGACATTCACATGGGGGGGCATCTACATGGGCAGAGCAACCTGACGTGGGGTGGGCAGCCTGCCATGAGCTGTCTGGTCTGCAGTGACAGAGACCAAGCAGGGTGTTGTGGGCAGCTAGTTTGAGAGGGATCGTACAAGGGAGATGTGGGAAGGGGTGGAAGCGGTGCACAGTGTTAGTCTGTCCTTGTTGGGGAGTAGAAGGCTTGTTCAAAGAGTAAGTAAATAAGAACAGAGTTTTTGAATATGAAAATGGGAACACTAAAGTGATTTTTGTGTTGGGGTTGAATTGATGGGAACTTATTTTAAAAACATACAGATACAGATGACTGTTTAGTAATGGGTACAGTGTGTCTCATAAATGTGAAAGACTGTATTTTAAATGTTTTCTGTGTACAAGCAGTAAATGTTTGAAGAGATAGATATGCTTACTTACCTTCATTATGCAGTGCTTACATGTATGAAAACATCACATGGTGCTCCCCTAAAATGTTCAATTATTGGACTTTTATGCATCAGTTAAAAAGAAATTTAATTAAAAACCCATACACATATATTTAGAAACAAATATACATACTTTCTATGCCCCTGCTTTTCTTGTTTTCTTAACTTTAAGTAGACATAGTCAGGGGTAGGTAGATGTTGGGGCATGGGTTACTTCTGGTAAAATGCAAAAACAAATGCAACTCTTTCAAAGGACATACAGTGATTTAGTGTAGAGCAGATAATCTTCTGAATTGAAATATATGTGCATTGAAAATGAAATAAGAAATTTTGATAGCTACTCATGCATTATTTTTCTATTCTTTATAGTGTCTATAAATTCTTTGACTTACTAAAAGAAGTTGATACCAGTACCAAAGTTGATAATGCTGTGTCAAGACTATTGAAGAAGTACAATGTGTTATGTGCACTCTACAGCAAATTAGAACGGTAAGATAAAGTTTTATTAGGCTTACACCTTTGTTTTTTGTTTTTCATTTTTATAACCAAATTTTTCACATCGCTGTTCAGTTAGATTTAATCTGAGAACTGTTAGGTATTTAATAAAAAGTATTAAGTATTATCTCATAGCCTTATCCCTTTTTGCTATTATTTTTATTAATTCTTAGGTAATTTATCTATTCATAAACATCCAGAACGCTTGCCCCAAATTAACTGTTTTTACCAGCCTTTCCTGTCATTTGCTTCATCGGACTGTGAGCTTGCTTCCCATCTTGTCTAGTAGAACTTGTAGTTCTGAATAGTGATCTAAATTTTAACTTCTTCCAGTTTAGAAAGAAATCATATTGTCAATGGAAGGTGTGTGACCTATGTTACTAAGTTGTGGTCTGTGCTCCAGCTGGTAGTCAGGAAGACTCCATCAGCACTGTTCAACTGGAAAATCATGACTAGACTTTGCTTGTATTTTTTAAAATGTATTTTTCATACCAATTATAGTTTTCTAACCCCAGTATTATAGTCCTTAATATGACATATCTGTTACTGTTTGTTTTGGAGCTCACTACATTTGAGCAAGAACATATGAAAAAGTAATGTTTAAGCTCAATAAGTCACTCTGTAATAGGACGATAAAAAGAAAGGAGAAAAGTGGAAGCTGGGTGTGGTGGCGCACACCTTTATTCTCAGCACTCAGGAGGCCGAGGCAGGCAGATCTCTGTGAGTTTAAGGCCACTGTTGTCTACATAGTAAGTTGCAGGACAGCCAGGGCTACATAAAGAGATTCTGTCTCAAAAATATAAAGGGGGCTCCTTGATGTTTTGGGGTGAATGAGGATGAGGGCAGCTAGAAAGAGGTCCCTTCACAGAGGCATGTAACTATTTTCTTTGCCTCTGCTTTTTAATTGATGTGTTACTAAAACTAGAGAGTTGTGATGATGGAAGTGACAAAAAATGGAGGGAAAAGGCTCCAAAAGTTGGGCTTGAGGCGGTTCTCCTCTTTTTCCTCCTCTTCCTCTCTTTTGATGTAGGGTCTCACATATATCAGTCTAACCTTAAACATATAGATCTAAGCTACATCCCCAGCATATCCCCATTTTACTTATTTTTTGAGACAGGCCATCCAAGCCTGGTCTTGAACTCATATCCTACCTCAGCCTCATGATACTGGATCACAGGCATGCAATACCATTTCTAGATTTGCCCTAGAATTTTTGAAATAATGCCTTGCCTTTTCTTTACTTTCTCCCTCCCTCCCTCCCTCCCTCCCTCCCTCCCTCCCTCCCTCCCTTTCTTCCTTCCTAGACAGGGTTCCTCTGTGTAGCTATGTATCTATAGCTGGTCTGGAACTCACTATGTAGACTAGGCTGGCCTTAAACTCACAACGATATCTCTGCCTATTAAAGACTTCCTACCATGAGGCCTGGCCTTTGCTTTTTTCATGCTGTTTTTAATTGTAATGTAATGCCACTGCCCACTCCCTGCCTTTTTTTTTAAGTGTAGACTCTTTTTCACAAGAAAAAAAAGAATTTCTTTTCAATTATTAAAAAGAAATGACAAATAAGTTGCCTAAGAAGTGTGAATTGATTATAGAGTACTTGGATAGTATAGATAGTCCTAAACAAAGTGAGAATCAAGAACATATTTCAGTGCTAGAGAGACTATCATTTTGGAATGTTTCTTTCCTTAGGCTACTGTTTCACATTAAAGATCTCATATTAATATATGTATGTGTATATTATTTATATATGTATACATAATATATATGATACACATATATACTGTTTTGTTTCTTTAAAATTTAATAGTGATCTTTTAAAATTCTTTAAATGTTTCCATAACCACTTAATTCATCATCTCAGCAGTTTTCATAAGACTATGGCCCCAAATATGAGAAAGTTCAGAGATTTCTGTCATGATATTATTTAGATCTCTGAAAATTTGAAAAAAAACCTTACATAACCCCATTTTAAGTATTATAACTATAATCAAACGATTATACGCCCGTTTTGATGAGAACTAATGTATTTGTAGTGTTAAATACATAAATTAGCATATACTAGGATTGTGACAGTGCACAAGGAAAAACCAGGCCAATAGTGCACAGCATGAAATGCTTCAAAAGAAGCTTTCCAGAGTTGTAGTAGAGTTTTCCCATCCTTAATAAACAAAGTAAGCAAAAACTTCACTGAAACAATTGGTAAGGAAATTATAGTGGGCTGAAGGATGGCTCATTGATTAAGAATGCTTGCTGCTCTTGCAGATTATGGGAATTCTACCCCAGCATCCACTTCCGGTGACTCACAACTACCTGTAACTCCAGCTTCTGGCCTGTGCAGGGCACCTGCATAGATGTGTGTATAAACAATAGAGATACAGACACATAAACATAAATAAGAATGAATTGAATTTTTAAGAGCGAAAGAAAATTCTACACAAATCAGTACTAAAAGACAAACAAAAACAAAAAACAAGACCTTCAGATTATTTCTAGATCTAGAATTTGAAGGCCAGGGGTCATTTGGGGGTACTTTTTGCTATAATAATTTTATTTTATTTTTATTATTAAAATATAATTACATCATTTCTCCCCATTCCCTTTCCTTCCTCTCACTCTTCCCAGACCCCCCACCCTGTGCACCTGCTTCCTTTTAAATCTGTTGCCTCATTTTCTTTGATGTTGTTACATGTATACAAAATCTGTAATTATAACCTGCTGAGTCCATTTAATGCTACTTCTATGTATATGATTTCAGGGCTAACCATTTGTTATTGGATAACCAGTTAATGGGCTCCTCCCTGGGGAAAATTACTTTCCTACTCTCAGCATTTCTTAATTGCCTGGAGTTATTTGTCTAGGGGTTGGGCCCTGTAAGATTTCTCCATCCACATTTCTACTATAATAATTTTAATTGGATAATTCCAGGTAGTTTTACTCTCTTGTCTGGCATCAGTACTCTGCTTTGATATCAGTTTCTGTTTTCAGGTTATTTATTTATTTATTTATTTATTTATTTATTTATTATACTTTCCACTTATAAATTACAGTTGATATCCTGGGGAAAGTAGAAACGGATGTTAGAAAGGGGAATGACCTCATAAGTGATTTTTAGACTTTACAGAATAGTTTGTTTAGGTGGTTTGCCATCTTTTTCTCTAAACAGAGAATAGTGAATGATCAATAGAAATACCATTAAACCAAAAATTGTCTCTTAATATTTATTAACAATAACTAATAATATTAAGACTACTAACATGAATTTTCTCATATGTATTTTGAAAAGTAACTTTATGTAGTTTGGAAGGGTGGGGAGAAGAAAGTTTCAGAGAATTTCTTAGATGCCAGAAAATTCAGAGGAGAAAGAAGAAAAGAATATCGCATCTGCTACATACTGAAATTTAAAAGCTTTAGAAGTTATGTAGACAATTTCAAAGTGTTCAGAATCTTCCTGGATCCTATTCCCTAAAGGCAAGTATGAATAGCAGTATTTCCAGGTTAGTCAGTGGGATCCCAGACAACAGTTTTCACAGAATTTTCTTCAAACATCACTGGAATATGAGAGTTCATGATGACCATTGACACAAACATCAATGAACAATGAGGATTTGAATCTTCCAGATGTGCTTCATTTAATGAATCAGGAGTCAGAGAAACTACCAATTAACTCCCAAAGCTGTCTTCCCTGTCATCCATAGCTAGCAACCTGTCCAGGGAATGGGAGCAGTAGCAGTTCCAAAGCTAGCCTTATAACTCTGGTCCAGTTGAGATTCTTGTGACGAGGCTTCTCTGTCTTCCGTGAAGTTTGCCCTCATTATCATCTCTCTCTGTGAAGCTGGGTATACACTCTTAAGGTTGTTTCGCCTTATTGAGTTCCTCTGAGGCACCTAGACTAGGCCTACTCAAACAAACCACTGAAGTGTGTCCATGATGAGCTCTTTACAGAAGCATGTGTGGATTCCCTTCTGCATTATGAACTACAGATGTGCCCTTGTAACAGAGAAGATAGAAGTTCCTATCCATCCTTCTTTTCCTCTATCAAAAACAGTAGTTGGATGTGTTGTCTAAAAAAAAAAAAAGAGAGAGAGAGAGAGAGAAGCTATAGTAGGGTTTAGTGGAGATGTAGTCACACATATCTGGATTCTAACCTAATCATGAGCATGTACTGTGTGATCTTGGATAAATGAGTTACCTAAGTTGGGTACTTTGTTTTCTAATGTCTAAATCAAGTTATTGAGAGTACCTATTAGTCAGGGTCCTTGAGAGTAACAGAACTTATAGATGGAATCTCTCTCTCTCTCTCTCTCTCTCTCTCTCTCTCTCTCTCTCTCTATATATATATATATATATATATATATATATATATATAGGATTTATTAGTCAGGGTCCTTGAGAGTAACAGAACTTATAGACTGAATCTCTCTCTATATATAGAAAGGGGATTTATTAGCCAGCGTCCTTGAGAATAACAAAAATTATAGACTGAATCTCTATCTATACATAGAAAGGGGGTTTACTAGAAAGACTCACAGGTTGTGATCCACTTAATCCAACAATGGCTAGCTGTGAATGGAAAGTCCAAGAATTCAGTAGTTGCTCCTCCACAAGGCTGGATGTCTCAGCTGGTTTTCAGTATACGCTGGAATCCTAAAGAAGTAGACTCTAATGCCAGTGAAGGAATGGGCAAGGTGAGGGCAAGCAGGTAAAGAGTAAAAGCTTCCTTTTCCCCTGTCCATATATAGGCTTCCAGCAGAAGGCATAGCCCAGATTAGATTTGGATTAAAGATCTGCAAGGTGTGTCTTCCCACCTCAAGATCTGGGTTAAAGGTGTGTTTTCCTACCTCAGAGATTCAGATTAGAAGTAGATCTTCCCATTTCAAATTAGGCAGAAATCCCTCACAGATGTGCCCTCTATTTTGAGATTTTAGTTAATTGCAGATGTAGTCAAGTTGACCACCAAAAATAGCCATCACATACCTGTTAAGTGTTTAATATATTAAATAAGGTAATACATAAATAGTGCTTTTGTTCAGTGGCTTTGTATAAACATAATAAACTTTTCATGAATATTAGCTTTCAAGTGGGAAAATGCACTATGACACAGATTGGAGGTTAGAGGGCAACTTGGAGGTGTTGGTCCTCTCCTTCTACCATTGGGTCCCATTTTCAAAATCAGGTTGTCAGGCCCAGCAGCAAGCATGTTACCAGCTGAGCTATCTTGCAGGCCCAAAGCTTTTAAAACAAGAAAAAAGACATCGTCTGGAAAGTACTGCATAATACTGTATTTTCATTCTGTATCCCCTTAGACAGTCACAAAGTACCAAGGTGATGCAAGGTGTTTAGAAGTTTGGTAGAATTGATCTGTTCAGTTCAGTTCAGCATTTTCTAAATAGGTTATACACATGTATTTGTCTCAGTTACTTTCTGTTGGCTGTGATAAAATACCCCCAACAAAAACAATTTGAGGGAGAAAGGAATTATTCCCATCTACAGTTCCATAGGGCTACAATGTCTCATAGTAGGGAAGATGTGGCAGCCCCAGCAAGCATGGTGGCAGGGCATACATAAAAGGAAGCAGAGTCCATGAACAGGAAGTGGGTCTGGGCTATTAAAGCCTCAAGACCATCTGAGTGACTCTCAAGTGTGATCCTGTTGGCGATACTTCACATTCAAACTATAACAGTATTAAACATAAGGTCTTATGAAAGAGGTATTTTATGGAATATATTTTAAGAAACTTTATGATATCAGTTGTTTTGTCAAAAAATAAATTAACAAACTACATCAAGAATAACCATTAGTACCCTGCTATATCCATGAGCTCTGGGTTTGATTGAGTGACCCTTCCTCAAAGAATAAGATGAAAGAACAATTGAAGAAGATTCCTGACATCAGCCTCAGGCCTCCACATATATGCACATATGTGCACCAACCCAAACATGTGTACACCACAACATGTACACATGAAAAAGAAAATTAAATGCAGTAATGATTGTGATGCTCTGTTGTAGAGTATTGTATTTAAGTAGAAAAGATGCAATACATTGTATATCTTAGCTAGGTGAAAAGGGTAACCCAGTACTGGTGATTTTGACTAAGAAAAAAAAGCTAGAGATGAAGAAAAAATAGAAACGTATCAAGTAAAATGAGTGGGGACTGGAACCAGGCATACTAAGCATGTGACAAGTGTGTGTACAATACCAAAAACAGTAGCAGGATGTCCTTTAGACTGCTAAGTCTGAATGTCTGAAAGGTAGGAAGGGGTCTGATTGGTAGTGAGCTAGGACTGTGCCTTGCAGGCATTGAAAAGTTGATAAATGATTTTATACTGGGGAATGAGATAGTCTGGTTTGTCCTTAAAAGGCCACCCTGGACTTCGTAATAGGAATTTATATTTTTTATTGACCAGTTTTATGGAATCATTTAGCCCTAATGTTGCCGGCCCTGAATCAAGCCAAGGTTTTCTTTTCCCATCTTACTTGTAGGATTTTCTGGAGTGTGAAAGTTGTGATGCCGAAGCTTCTTTATTACGGGATGAACCATATGGATATATATGACTTACTAGTTAGATAGTCATTAGTTGCCCACTGACCTGAGATTTTTGATTTTATCATCAGTTTTGATTTAAAATTCAGACAGAAGCCAGTCCTTTTGTAATTAGGACACTGTGATGTGAAATGACACTTTGTAGTGGGTAAATGTATTTTACTTTTGTTTTAGAATGCTCACGATTCATGCTGCAGTAGTATTTCAAAAGTTACTGTTAAAAAGCCATAATGATAATGACATTATATATTCCTTTCAGGACATGTGAACTTATATATTTGACACAACCCAGCAGTGTGTAAGTAGTTGAAAGCATTTACTTTTCACTAAAGAACTTTTTTTTTCATGACTAATCTCAGACATATTGATACTACTAAGGTTACTTTTGGGTGATAAAAACATACTACTTTATAAGTTGAGGTGATAAAAATCCTGTTTTAACTGCTCTGAAAATGCATGCCTTATATTGCAAAGGAGAACTAATTAGCTGGAAATTGATTTGGTGTTCTCTGTCACTATTCTGGGGAAAATGCAGTCCATTCATTAAATACTGAGGATCTATCACAGGGATTGTATTAACAAGGCTCTGCATACTGTCGTATAAGAACAAATACATTCTACATTAGGGGGCTGGAGAGAAGGCTCTGCTTAAGAACACTCCTTCTTCCAGAGGACCCAGGCTTGATTCCCAGCACCCACATGATGGCCCACAACTGTCTGTATCTCCGGTGCTATGGCATCTCATGACCTCTTCTGGCCTCTGCAAGCACCTGGCATACAAGTGGTTCACAGACACACATGTAGACAAAGCGCGTGCGTGCACAAATCTCAACACACAAATCTCAATTACAAATTCTAAATTATCTTGAAAACGTCTCCCACAGGCCAGAACAGTATGTCCGTGTCTTCTCTGGAAACAGATCAAGTAGTCCTGGAGATTTTTCTGCCCCATTAGAGCAGTAGCATAGAAATGCAAGTTGTGCATTTATCAATTTATATAAATCTGCTGATTCTAATGACCATTCTATGGAAAAATTCTCAAGGCAAAGTGTTGCTAAACCAAAGCCACCTTAATTCTTTTTTTCTTTTTGCTTACATTGTTCATCTTAACTAGAAAACAAAAGCGCAAACAAGTATAAAGGTAACTAGAAACAAATTACATTAAAGTTCCTTGGGGTTTATATAATTTTAGATTAGAATAAATATTTTGGTAGGCACAACAAATGAAATGAGATAAATTGAGTTCAGGTGTAAATTGTGCTTTTAAAGAGAGTTGCATTCCATTGTGTATTTATTTAACTTTAGTCTACAATCTAAAACAAAACAAACTACTTAAAAGTAAAGCTGAAAAACTTTGTCAGTGTCTAACTTTTTTATTGCTTTGTATTTTTTTTTTAACCAGGATATCTACTGAAATAAATTCTATGTTGGTGCTAAAAATTTCTTGGATCACTTTTTTGCTAGCTAAAGGTAAATGAACATTTTTTTGCATGCTGATGTGTCAGATATAATGATTAAGTTGCTCATTTGGAATAGTACGAAAATTTTATTCAATTAATGTATCCTTCTACTATATTCTTTTTATGGCTTATTAACTGTAAACCATTTTTGTAGTTATGGTAATAGAGACATTATTAGAAATGTTTCATTTCCTATCCTTTCCTCCTAATCCCTCCTTTCTCTTCTGTTTTCTTTATATTTTCCTTTTTAGGAGTGCTAGGGATGGAAGTCAGTGCCTAGTGATTTTAAAATTTAATAAAAGTAATCAGTGGAAATATTAAGTGTTTAGTCATCTTACATGATATTTCTTTTTTTTTCTTTTTGGTTTTTTGAGACATGTTTCTCTGTGTAGCTTTGCGCCTTTCCTGGAACTCGCTTTGTAGACCAGGCTGGCCTTGAACTCACAAAGATCCGCCTGCCTCTGCCTCCCGAGTGCTGGGATTAAAGGCGTGCGCCACCACCGCCCGGCGTACTGTTACATCTTTATTTTTCTTTTTTAGCCTTGTATTTTGTTGATGTTAATACAATGAAAAAGGAAAAATGTAGTGGTTAAATGCTAGTTCCAAATTCATGGTGAATGCTCATATTTTTCTTCTTCTGATTTGGAGAAAGTAGAAACTGATGAGAGTAGTCAACAAATATGAGAATCCAGTATACTGTGCTGATGGAAAACAGCCTGAATCCCATCAGTTTTAGTTAGGGTTTCTATTACTGTGAAGAGACACCATGACCACAGCATATCTTAAAAGGAAAACATTTAATTGGGACTGGCTTACAGTTCCAAGGTTTAGTTCATTGTCATGGCAGGAAGCATGGTGCCATGCAAGCAGACATGGTGCTGGAAGGAGCTGAGAGTTCTACATCTGGATCCACAGGCTGCAGGAAGAGAAAGTGAGACACTGGGCCTGGCTTGAGCATCTGAAACCTCAAAGCCCACCCACCCCCTGTGACACACTTCCTCCAGCAAGGCCACACCTCCAATAATACCACTTCCTATGAGTCAGTGGGGGCCATTTTCATTCAAACCATCACACCATCGCAGTACCGTTGGAGAAGAGGGATTTCTTTTATCCAAGTACTAACCAGGCCTTGCCCTGCTTAGCAGCTGAGATCAGATGAGATCAGGCATGTTCAGGGTGTTACGGCCATAGATAGGAAGAGGGAATTCTACAGCAGTGTACATTAATCTACTTGGAAAAACCATGATAATGATCTCTCGGCACATCCTCTTCCCTCTCCCCACTTTATAATTAATACATTCTATTGTTTTCATTTCATTATCAAAGACTATAACATCTATTCATCTGTAATTATAGTTTCTACATGCCTTTAGTCTCAGTTCAGTATTTAAATGCATTCTGTGACCATTAGCACTACTTTATTATAGCTTCTCTGTTTCTGAGTTCTCGATTTTGATCCATTTCTTAGCTAGTTGGATTGTGCCATCAAGGATTTAAGTTGTCTTGTCCATCTGTTTACCTATGGTATGTGTGTGCCTCAGGCGTGCTGACAAGCGCTTTCACCTGCTGGGCCAGCTCTCCAGCCCTAGATTAAAAACTCGGCCCTTTGATGTCATGTTCCACATGTTTGACATGTTAACGGAGAATGTCCACAGTATCTATACTTGAAAGACAACTTGACTGTGTGGCCTGCTCTTGAGTCATTTTGTCCCGTAAGGCAATATTTTCTAGTTTTGAATGTTGATTTTGAGAAATCTGAGGCTCGCTTAATTTCCTCCTGTCATTTAGTTGCTGAATACTTAGTGAGTTCTTTTTTAAACGTGAGGTTTAGGTCTGAAGAGATAGCTCAATAACTAAAGCACTTGCAGCAGAGCCTGGTTTCATTCCACATGGCAGCTCACAATCTGTCACTCCAGTGCCAGTGCGTGTGTTACCCTCCTCTGGCCTTCACAGCACCAGGCATGGAGGCAGGCAAATGCTCACGTGCAGAAAATAATAGAAAATGAAACTTAAATGTGAGGTTTAATACCTTTACTAGGATATCTATTGATTTGTATCATTCTGCATTCATTTGTGTTGCAATACCTTTAAAAAAAAAACTAGACATCTGTTCTTCTTTTCTGAGACATCTTAATAATGTTATATTTTAAGGTGTTATTTTATTCAGTTAGGTTTTTCTCAAACATTATATCAGGTTGTTTTGTTCTCCATATCTGTTTTCTCTTTTTTTAATTATTTTTCTTTTTGTCTTTTTGGCAATGCTAGGAATCGAACCCAAAGCTTCATGAATGCCAGGCAAATGCTCTGTCACACTGAGCTACAGCCCCAGCTTTGTATTATGTGTAGGTTCTTTTATTTTGTCTTTTGATTTGAACTCTTTTTGTAATGGTGTTATTTGTGCCTAATTTGTTCTTAACTCGTCTGATTCCTTGTTTTTATATCAATTGAAATCAGTGAGCTTCTGTTTGTTTGTTCATTTGTTTTAAGGCAAGTTCTTGACACATGACCCAGACTACCTTTGACATAATGATCTTTCTGCCTGGCATCCCAAGCACTGGGAGTTCACCATAATGCAGGATGGCTTGCTTATTTATTTGTTTATTTGTTTGTTTATCAAAGTATTTTCTTTCTATTAGATTCTCTGATTTTTTTTCTCCCTTTTTTGAAAGTTTACTTTTTCTTACAGAGATCTGCCTGGCTCTGCCTCCCAAGTGCTGGGATTAAAGGTGTGCACCACCACCCGACCTGGCTAATGTTTTCTTTGAGGTAGTTTGAGACACCCTCCCTTCATTCCCTTTACACTTAATGTGGGCTTAGTTTGTATTCCCCAGAGAATTACAGTATACTGTAAACTGGCGTTATGCTGCTTTTAGTCAGAAGGTAAGAACGAGGATAGAGAATTCATCTGAAGTGCTGTGAGCCTTTGAGGTTCTGAATCTTTGTTAAATGAATGCTATACTTTGCTCTTTTCCCAGTCAGCACAGTATACTGGAATGTCTGTGCTGGGCAGCCAGCCATCATGCTTACTTCCCTTTTATTTTCTTTAGCAGTTACTTCTCCCTCCAAGCCAGAAGGCGAAAAAGATGAGCATCCTGCTGGAGCGTTGTTCCAGATTTGGTATTGCTACTAGCACTTGGCTAATGTGTGTTTCTCCTTCCGAGTGTTGTTAGAGTGGAGAGGCTGTTCATCCGACTTTCCTCTGCTCTTCTTACTTGGACGTGCCTGGAAACAAACTTCACCTGTTTCTTCACCGTCACTAACTTTTAGTTAGCATACAAGTTAATGAGTTTTCTAGTGACATTTTCATATCACACATTTCTTCTTTGTTGTTTACACCCTCTGTGATATTTCTTCACTGAACTCATTGCAAACATATGGACTGAAAACACCCACCTGATACAGGGTTATCCATTTTCTCACACATTTTGAGAGTTGCAGTATTTGTTGTTATTGTTAGTAGCTTAGCAGATACCCCAAAGGTAGAAAGTGAATCAAATCAGACTTCTCCTTTATTTAAAAAAATACTTATTTTTATCTTGTGCATATGAGTGTTTTGCTTGCACATATATATATGTACCACATGTAAGCCTGGTACCTGTGGAGGCCAGAGAGGGCATTGGTTTCCTTGAACTGAGAATTACAGACACTTGTGAACTACCATTATGGATGCTGGGAGCCTAACCTGGGTCTTCTGCAAGAGCAGCAAGTGCTGTTAACCACGAGCAATCTCTCTGATCCCTACATGTCTTTCTTAAAAATAAAGAGCCATAGCAAATAGGCATTTTCTGGATTTGATCATAATTTACATTATATATAGGTACCTATTATATGTGTTTATTTTTACAAGCCTTGTAATTGTATGCTATACATGTTACATAAACTTATTATTTTAAGTTACATATGTATGTATGTTACACAAACTGTTAGGATATTATGTTCAATAGTTATTTAGAGATGACCTTGTAATTATATTCTGAGTTTGGTTTATTGTTTTTGGGTTGGTTGTTTTGTTTCTCTGTGTAGCCCTGGCTGTCCTAGAACTCGCTTTGTAGACTAGACTGGCCTCACAGAGATCCGCCTGCCTTTGCCTTCCAAGTGCTGGGATTAAAGGGGTGTGCCATCATCACCTGACTTGAGTTTGTTATTTCTTGATAGTTTTGGTTAGTGTAATATTTTGTGGAGGGTTAAATTGAGCATATGAGATACTTTTTATAAATATTTAGAATGAAAAATTAGCATGCATCATGCTTCAACATGGTTTCTGGAAGTGATGAGTTCTGTAGGTCACACCAAAATAGGAAGTAAATTTTATAAAGGGTAATGCCAAGTAATTTTTTTATTGTTTTGGTTTTTTGAGACAGGGTTTCTCTGTGTAGCCCTGACTGTCCTGGAACTCACTTTGTAAAACAGGCTTGCCTTGAACTCGCAGAGATCTGTCTGCCTCTGCCTCTTGAGTGCTGGGATTAAAGGCATGTGCCACCAACCACCTGGTCCATGCCAAATGATTTTAATAAGAATTAATTATTATAACCCTTAATCTTAAAATTCTGAGGGTAGATTAACACTACCTAAATTTCAAATTTCATTTACGTCTTGAATCTCATTTTTCATTTGTTTTTTTGCAAAGAAGAGAAAAGTCTTTATCATGGCTCTAATGATTAGCAAATGAATAAGCATATGGATATACCATTACTTACATTTTTCTCTGACTTAAAGGTACCAATTTCTAACTTTTCTTAAAAATGTGAATCTTGAGGCCAATTAGATGGCTTTGCATGTAAAAACACTTGCCATCAACCAGGCAACCTGAGTTTGGTCACTGGGACCCACATAGTAAAAGAAGATAACCAATTCCTGAAGGTTGTCCTCTGACTGCCACACGTGCATTATAGTACATGTGCGCGCGCACATGCACACACGCGCGCGCACACACACACACACGCACACTTATGCTCACAAACGTGCACATACATGCATACACACACACACACACACACACACACACACACACACGGGTAAGTAAGTAACGGATAAATATAATTTTAAGATGTTTTAATATGGATCTTTTTCATTTTTAGGAGAAGTATTACAAATGGAAGATGATCTGGTAATCTCATTTCAGTTAATGCTGTGTGTGGTTGACTATTTTATTAAGTTCTCGCCTCCTGCACTACTCAGAGAACCATACAGTAAGTATTGTAAACGATGTAATGTTCTTCTCCTTTAGTGCAGCAGTTCCTTATTGACTATCTTGCGGGTCTAGTGTAGTCCTAAAACTGAATGTATGATAAAACATTAATCAAGAGTGGACTCTGCCTTTTGCTCTCAGCTTTGCTTGACTATGACAGTATCTGATGTGATCAGTTTATTGAGATGTCATCAACTTATTTTTAGCTCACAGTTTTGGAGCTTCCGTCCACAGTCAATTGGCCCCTTTGCTTTGGAGTCTGTAGTAAGGGAGCGCACATGGTAGACACCCTCAGTGGAGTAAAACTTCACCTCTGTTGGAGTTGTGGAAGACATTTCCAGATTCAAATGACAGCAACCTTCAAGTAGTGTGGGTTATAGAAAAAAGATAAAATGTTGAACAAATAATTAAGAATGTAGTAGGAAGTGCTCTGGGTTAATCAAAACAAAGCAAATGTTTTGGGAGGTCCAGAGATATGAAAATTTTTTCAGGACCAGTGAGATGTACAACCTAACAACCTGAGTCTGATGCCCAGAATTTATGGTGGAAGGAAAGAATTGATTTCTGAAAGTTTTCCTCTGACCTCCACAGGTGTGCCCTGGAACCCCAATGTTCATGCATATGCATGCACACATACACACATATACAATAATAATAATAATAATAACAAGGGCTAGAAAGATGGCTTAATGGTTAAGAGTGTATACTGTTCTTGCAAAGGACCTGAGTTCTGTTCCCAGAACCCGTGTTGGGTGGCTCATAATCTCCTGTAACTTCAGCCCCAGGGAGATCCAGTGCCTTCTTCTGGACTTTCTGGGCACTACACTCACTTAAATATACCCCTCACATCACACACACGCGCACACACACACACACACACACACACACACACACACACACACACATGCATAATTAAAAATAAAGTAAAAATTTAAAAATTAAAAAGAAAATTTTTGTAGTAGAAGTGGAGGGCTAGTAAATAGACTAGAAAAGAAGTAGTATTTGAAATGAAGCGTAGGTAAGGTTGGGGAAAGGTTTCCCTTGAAGACGCAGGGGATTGTAGTAAAGTAGAGCAGAAGACAAGACAGAGATATGATTCATAACTCTTGAGAAAGGGGGTGGGGCATTCTATAGTAGCAATTTAAGTTTTTAATTAATATTGGATATTGTATACTATATAACTGATTTTTCTATATAAACAGTAATTGATACTGTTTCAGTGGGTAGTGAGAAGGGTGGGAAATATATTTAAATAAAGTAACTATTGCTGATATAGATAGCATTAAGCAAAGGTAAGTGTAGCTTATGGGGTTTTGTTTATTTATTTATTTATTTATTTATTTTTGGTCACCTTAAAAATAAGACCTTGAAATCACTTTTGTACAGCAGGAAATGTAAACTTAGCTGAGGACAGGCTGATTCCTAGCTCCTGAAGTGATGAAAGTGTTAATAGAAGTGCTAAAACAGATAGCAGATCAAAATGTCAAGTCTGTGCGTGCTGTTGAAGAGGCTGAAGTAGGGAAGCCTAATTCATCTTTGTGAACGATGACTTCATGGGAAAATGAAATCTGGAAGAGCATTTTGACAGTGTATTAAACATTCGTTGGTGGAAGAGGCAGAAAACTTAAACTAGCATAAACTACATATAAAGCAGGAGAAATTTTAAAATATATGGCAAATAGTAAATAGACTTAAAAAGTCCGCATCCTTTAAATGTTCCTTTTGCCTGCCTTTTTCTCACTTGTTTATGTCAATGTTGAAACTTTAAAAGTTAGTATACTAACTGGTGTGATAATGCATGCCTTTAATCCCAGCCCCCGAAGGCAGAGGCAGGTCAGTCTGTTAGTTCTAGACAAGATGGATTACATAGCTCATTTCAGGACAGCCAAGGAGGGCTTCAGAGTGAGGTCCTGTCCCCCAAATAAAATAAAATAAAATAAAATAAGAAGTTGGTGTATTGTGTTACTTTATTCAAATTGATGTCTTTGTTCTTCTTTAGATAATTCAGATCTGTACTTCATTGTTTAAGTGCATTGTTAAAGAGAAACAAGCATGAGAAGCTGAATTGACTGAGTACAGTAAATTTTTAATTAGCTTTTGTGATGGGGATTTCAAATAAAGAGATGTAGCTTGTCTCCCTGTACTTATGACCAACTTCAGAAGATAGTTTATGACCCGTCTGTAGCCTCATATCCCATAGGTTCCTCCAGCTTGTATATGGTTTTATCTTGGTGTTTGTATCTGTAAAAGATAAAGACTTAAAAAGAAAGTACTATTATGGCATCTGAAAACTATTAGTTACTGTTTAATGCCACCAATACTTTATAAGTGTTCAGATTTCCAGTTAGCTCATAAATTCAATGGAAGTGTCTTTTCTGTAGGCTGACTGAATCAGAATTTACATGAAATCTCTACTTTGTGATTGGTTGATAAACTTGTAATTTTTTTATTTTTATTTTATTTATTTATTTATTTTTGAGACAGGCTCTCACTATGTAGCCCATGCTGGCCTGGAGCTTGCTATGTTGCTATGCTGGCCTCAAAGTCACAGAGGTCTTCCTGCCTCTGTGATTAAAGGCATGCACCGCTCACTGTGCCTGGCTTGTTACACTTCTACGACATGCTGCCCCGGCTTGTGGATGTAGTTCAATGGTAGAGCACAGAAGGTCCTGGTTTCGATCTGTAGCACAAAACAGTGTTCCACTTCTTTTCCCTCACTTCCTCATGCTTTATTCTTTAAATAATCAGAGTAGATGGTTTGTGCGTGTCATGTGTACATGTCTTTTGCCAGCATGTATGCTTATGTACCACTTAGTGCCTGGTGTCTGTACAGGCCAGAAGAGGGCATCCTATCCCCTGGAACTGGACACATAGTTGTGAGCCACCATGTGGATACTGGGAATTGAACCTGAGTCCTTTGGAAAAGCAGCCAGTGTTCTAAATCACTGAGTCATCTCTCCAGCCCCCTATACTACAACTTTTAAATACATTGTAATTTGCTAATACTTAAACATTTTATACTGTGCTTATAAATAGAACTCATAAATATTTGATTATTCATTTTAAGGATCTAAAATAGAGAAAAACTATCTATACTTATTTAGTATTGTTTGTGGGGTAGTAGGATTGTGTGTGGGCCTGGGTGTGAAAGCTAAAGGAAACTTGCAAGAGTCAGTTCTTCATTGCACTGTGTGGATTCCAAGGATTGAACTAGGTTTAGGTTGTCAGCCTTGACAGCAAGCGCCTTTGCCCACTGAGACATCTCATCAGCCCAGGAAATAGTTTTGGTCATGCATACTGAGTAGAATACACTTATAAGTAATTTATAAATTATCTGTTTACCAGGCTTTCTCCGGGTTTATGGGATATAGCATTTTGGGGGTGGCATTTGGAGTAAAAAAAATGTAAGTTGCAAAAATTAATAACAGCATATACATCACAACAGGCATTCAGGAACAGTTCATGGCTCAGTGATAGAGCATTTTTGTAGCATTCACAGAGACCCTGGATTTGATTGCCAGCACTATAAAACTAAAGGGGAGACCCAATAGGTATTAATTAATGAGTTTAAATTGTTAATTATGTAGTGATCCATAATAAGTGAAATAAAATTCTACGAGGATTATTTCTAATGTTGTCTTAGAATGTGTCATTTTATTTTATTTTATAATTTATTTAATTTTAAGTAATTGTTTTGGAGGTAGAGGTCTCATGTGACCTAGGCTGGCCCTGAACTCACTATGTAGACAAGGATGGTATTGAACTGTGACTCTTCCTCTGCCTCCTAAATGCTGGGATTACAGGCATGTACCAGCATTCCTGGTGTATGTGGTGATGGAAATTGAACCCAGGGTTTCATAATTTTCTAGGCAAGTACTCTACCAACTCAACTACATCCCCAGCCCAATTTCATTAATTTTTTTCAGTATGGAATGTACAGTTGTTCTTATCTAATTTACCATTTTTACAGAAACAGCTGCAATACCCATTAATGGTTCACCTCGAACACCCAGAAGAGGTCAGAACAGGAGTGCCCGGATAGCAAAACAACTAGAAAATGATACAAGAATTATTGAAGTTCTCTGTAAAGAGCATGAGTGTAATATAGATGAGGTAATTTCGCTGACTCTTTCTTTAAAACAGTTGAAGTAGATATATATGAAAAGTCTGCCTGAAAATACGTACGCTTCATTGTGAGCATGCTTTTTTATTTTTTAATTAGGACCACTTCAATTTTATAGGAGCAAAATGCTTGATTTTTGTATGAAAAGTAGTTTTCATACTTTCTTACTTAGCTTTTAAAGAGAATATCCCCTTCTGGAATTACTGAATGTGTATCATGAAGACAATAGTTTTCAAATATATTTCTTCTTCTTTTCCCTTGAATTTACTAATATCCCTAGTGTTTAAAACACCCTGCCAAGAAACCTTAGTTTCACTTTAGTGTGAGTGATATAACATTCAGTTTCTGTTTAGCCTTTTATGACTCTCTTTCCAAATACTATATCAGATGTTAATAACTGTTGGAGAGAACTTATGCACACATAGTAATTACTTATTTTCTTCAAGAGTCTAGGATTTGAAATTGAAAGGATTCTTACAAATAATGTACCCCACTGCTTTATAGTAGTGAGTCAACATGCTTCCAGAGACTGGTTGCTCATCACCCACTGATCCTTTGCTAAAGTTTTGGACATCTGACACAGAGTCTGTCTTCATTTTAAAGATTCTTTCTCTCATAGTTTATTTGTTGAAATTTTGTCTACAATTCATCTCACCAGATGGGTGAAAGTGTTACATTTTTATAATTCTAAGTATTAGAAACATTTCCAAGATATCTAGGCCTTACCACTGTGGTTCTTACTAATGTCATAAATATGTATCTCTGTGTTTATATTAACTTTATATAGAAACCTAAATGGTTGCTTTTCACCTTTCTAGAATCACAAGTTACCACATATAAATAAGCTGACAATTGTAGCTGAAATAGTGCTATCTCAATTCTGCTGTTTAGTAGTAAGGGAGCAAATAGTAGTAAGTGAGTTTTTCTAATTCCCTGGATTTTTTGTACCATAACTAGTTACATTTTACTTTGAGGATTAGGATAAATAAAGTTTTCATCTTAAGGAATTTGTTCTTAGAATTTAGAATGTTTACATAGTTATGATTCAAGTATAGCTAATAAAAACTTTAGTATTTTATTTGACAATTGATTAAATATAGCATTTATGGATATATAACTGTTGGTTAATTATACTAATTGATTTACTACTAAATATCCCAGGCAAGTGTGGACTAATTAGAAAAAAAATGTACTATTTGTTAGAAAGAAAAATCAGTAAGTGTAGACTAATGTCTGGAAAAGAAAGTTAGTAAAAGAATAGCAGAGTTAGAAATTCTGCAGTACACTGCACTTGTGGAGCAGCCCGTTATCTGTTTCTAAGGGTCACTTTAAAAGGTTGGGTTCAGTGCTCCTTATGCAACAGATCCCATTTCATTAACAGGCTTTCACTTTAACTATTTTATGCTCAGAAATCTGTATTTAAAAGTAAATAATTGAACAATTATAAATCAATATCTTTAGTTTGAATGTACTGGAAATATCAGTTAATACTTTAGTGTGAACAGTTACCAAGACTAGACTTTGTTTTAAATTTTAATATATCTTATTATTGTAATCTTAGATGTATATATTTGAATGCTATATTTTTCAGGTGAAAAATGTTTATTTCAAAAATTTTATCCCTTTTATGAATTCACTTGGAATTGTATCATCTAATGGACTTCCAGAGGTAATTTGAAATAAAGTTCAATTAAAATTAGTATGGTTTGTTTAAGAATTTGGGGAAGGGGGATTATTGTTTACATTTCCTAAGATAAATTTATTGTATGTCAGTTGTTTATTTCTCAAAATAAACTTAGCTGAGTAGAATTGTAAAGTTAACATTTCTATGGTAACAGAGTTTTTTGTTTATTTGTTTCGTTTGGTTTTGGTTTCAGTTTTTGGAGACAGTTTCTCTGTGTAGCCCCAGCTGTCTTGGAACTCACTCTGTAGACCAGGCTGACCTCAAACTTACAAAATCCGCCTGCCTCTCTCTTCCTCTGGAGTGCTGGGATTAAAGGTGTGTACCACCACCGCCCAGCAAGGTTTTTGAAAACATAGGTTCAAAAGTATAAGTAAACATGATTTTATCAGAAGGCATAGAATTAGAAAGCTAGGCTGCTGGTTCTTTTACTTGGATTGTTAGCTAGTTCTTAATTTAAGAGTTCACTTAGTATTTGTTATGTGTTCAGTGTGTCAAGTGTTGTGCTAGATAATGTAGGTACAGAGATTAACTTTCAGTCGCTATCCTTAAGATGCTAGTGGGAGAGGCAAACTAGGAAATAGAACACTGAAGGAGGAGCCAGGTCGGTGATGCAGCCCTCCAATCTAGTACCCAGAGCACAGGGGGATCTGGAGTTTAAGTTGGAGGCCGGCCTGCTGTTCTCATGTTCTCTCTGTCTCACTGTCTCTGTCTGTCTGTCTGTCTGTCTGTCTGTCTGTCTGTCTCTCTCTCTCTCTCTCTCTCTCTCTCTCTCTCGCTGTGTGTGTGTGTGTGTGTGTGTGTGTGTGTGTGCAAAACAAGAAATCAGTGAAACAAAGAGTTGACTCTTTGAAAAGATAAATGAAATGAAATAGACAAACCTTGAGCCAAATGAACCAGAAGAAAGACCCAAGTTAATAAAATTAGAGATTGAAAAGGAAACATAACAGACATCAACAAAAATCAGAGGATCATTAGATCACCTTTGGAAACCAGTATTCCAATAAATTGGAAAATCTAGAAGAAATGGATAAATTTCAAGACATACATGACTTAAAAATGAAACCAAGAGTATATAAGCAGATGTATTACAAACAGTGATACCGAGACAGTAATAAGTCCCTCCACTAGAAAAGCTCAAGTCTGGATGGATTCACTGCCGATTACACCTATGATCCTTACACTATTCCAGGACTCAGGGAAGGAAGGAATGCCACCAAGATACCAAAACAAAATGAGAATACATAGCTTCTTCAACAAGTGACCTGGGAAAGCTACACGTAGAGTGAAATTAGACTCCTGTTTCAAATCATATAAAAACAAATGAAACTGTATCAAAGTTTGTAATGTAAGATCAGAAACTGAAGCTTTTACAGAAAAACATAGGGAGAATACTTTAAGGTAAAGGTATGATTTTTCTGGGAAAAAAGAAAGACTCCAATAGCTCAGGAATTGAATGGGACTAAAAGGCTCTGTATAGCAAATGAAACTATTGAATGAAGAGACAGCCTATGGAATGAGAGGAAATTTTGGGAGCTATAAATCTTTATGTAGCTAATATATAGATTCCTGATAGGAATATAATTAGTCTAGTCTTGATGGAACCAATAAGAAGGTCCTGAGAACATTAAAAATGAAACTACTATACAAGCCACCTGTATCACTTCTGGATGTATTCCCCAAAGACTCTATGCCAGCATACCATAAAGATCCTTGTATATCCATGCTTGTTGCTGCTCTATCCACAATAACTAAGTAGAATCTCGGTCTAGATGTCTATCAACAGGCAAATGGATAAAGAAATGTGATCTCTATACACAGTGGGGTTTTAGAAGCCTTTGGAGAATGAAGGTATTTATGCTGTTTGTAGGAAAATGGCTATAACTTGAGATCATAATATTAAGTAAAATAATATAGACTCAGAAACGTTTAGATTATAATGTATTAGTGATTAATTGTGAGTTACCAGTAATGCACGAAATAAAGGAACGAAATAAAAACACTTCTCCTTGGAGTTGCTTAACCAGGAGGGAGTCCAGATTTGAATTTTCTTCTTCCTACTGTGTCTTCCATACTTTTGTCTGTTGTATGCAGCATCTGAATCTGTGTCTGCCTGAAGGCTGTCCTGTGAGTCAGTCTGTCCCTCTGTGTGTCTGTCTGTTTCTGTATCTGTGATTGTGTATGTCTGTTGTTTGAGCTGTGTGTCTGTATGTGAGTGGTATCTGTCCCCAGCAAAGGGCTTTACTCTGTTTATCCAACAGCATAGAATGCAACACATGGGGAAGGAATGGGATACTTGACAAACATCTTTAACAGAGTATTACAAGGGATTAAGTCACTGGCTCCAACTAATCACAACTGACCCAGATAAATACCATTGTTTATCAACCAATATTCATAAATGGTTGCTCTGAAATTTTGTTACAGATTTTAAGAAGTTTTCAACTTCTGTATTTGCTGCTTTCAGTAAATGATACATATGAATTATCTAGGTTAGAGGCATGGAAGTGTATGTAACTTAAAATTGCAGCTGTGCATTAGCTTAGGTTGTAAAAGTTGATTACATGGTAAAACCAAGGCAAGTAAGGTTGGTTAGTTATAGTTTCTCTTAAAGGCAGGTTAAGCAAAAGTTGGAGTCCAGTGGGCTAGCAGTCTTAATTTGTAAGGGACCTGAAGGTGTATTATTAGCCTTGGCTATGAGGTCCAGCAAAAGTTCCAGTCTCTTGGAATATAAGAGATATTGCATCACTACACAGAAAAACAAAGAAGGATAATATTGGTTCCTTTTTTGGTTTATTTGGGACAGAGTTTCTTGGTATAGCCCTGCTGTCTTGGAAATCACTCCATAGACCAGGCAGGCCTCAAACTCAGAGATCCACCCGTCTCTGCCTTCTGAGTGCTGTGATTAAAGGCATTTGCCACCACTGCCTAATTGTGTAGTTGGTGTTTTTTTTTTTTTTTAAACTCTTTACTCTTAGCTCTTTGGAGGCCCACCACTCAGCTTCCAAATAATCACATGAAGACTTATTCTTTCTTATGAATGCCCGGCCTTAGCTTGGCTTATTTCTAGACAGCTTTTCTTAGCTTAAACTATTCTGTCTACCCTTTGCCTCTGGGCTTTTACCTTTTTCTATTTCTGCATATCTTTCCTTTCCTCCTTATTCTGTGTCTAGCTGTGTGGCTGTGTGGCTGGCCTCTGGCATCCTCCTCTCCTCCTTGTCTGACTCCCTCCTCTTCTCTTTTTCTCCTCTTTATTCTCTCTGCCTGGCAGTCCCAACTACTCTCTCTCCTCCCTTGCTATTGGCCATTCAGCTCTTTATTAGAACAGGCAGGTATTTTAGACAAGCAAAGCAACACAGCTTTACAGAGTCAAACAAATGCAACATAAAGGAATGCAACACATCTTTATATCATTAAACAAAAAAACCACAGCATAAACACATGTTAAACACATAAATAAACACATCTTAAAATATTATTCCATAACACAGTTGAGACCTGGTCTTTTAGGAGTCTTATTCCTACCTTAGGCATTAGGAACCATGCTGTTCTGAACTCTGAAGAGTGTTAACATTCAGGATAATCTCCCACCCCTTTATAAAGGGTTAGTTTCAATGGATACCTTAAGAGAAACTTTACATTTTCAGTATTGCACATATAATTGCCAGTCAGATGGTTGTTGGTTTGTGTTTCTCCAAGGTAGGGCAGGAGTGGTCACTAATCTTATCTGTGCATTAATAACCATTCTGTCAAGTTTACTTATGTAGGGAAACATACAATTTGCATTTTTGCATTTCTTCTACCATTCTTTTTATAATGCAGTTTTTGTTCCCTCAAGGTTAAACATTGACTGTGAAAGCCACAGAAAGGGCTAGGGAGTGTGGCTCTGTGGTAGAGTGCCTGCCTAAGCATGTAAAATGCCCTGGGCTCCATCCATAGCACTTGAACAATAACAAACCAACCTAGGCAGAGAACCCTTCAGGAGTTAAGGGCTTGATTTAGTGGTAGAATGTGTGTTTACTATGTGTAAGACTCTTGGTTCTTCCCTAACAACAGAAGGGAAAAAAAAAGTCATAGCAGACGGTTGAACACTAGGTTTTAAATCATGATAATAAGAAGAGATCAGAACCAAGAAATTGTTTATAGTTTCTAGCAATTGAAAAGGTATGATAGAAAGTAAATTTTAAAATTATGTTAATTAGGTGTTTTAGTTACTTTTCTGCTGTCATGACAAAACACCATGACCAAGGAAATTTATATAAGAAAATGTTTCATTTGGGGCTGACAGTTCCAGAGAGTTAGAGTTCATTACCATCCTGGTGAAGAGCATGGCAGCAGGCAGGCAGGCATGGCCCCAGAGCAGTAGCTGGAAGCATATATCTGCATCCAAACAAACAAACAAACAAACAAAACCAGGAAGCAGAGAAAGCTAACTGGGAATTGTGTGGCTTTTAAAACTTCAAAGCTCACCCCAAGTGACACGACTCCACCAACAAGGCCACACCTCCTAATCCTTCCCAAACAGTTTACCAACTGAAAGTCAGGTATTAAAGTATATGATCTTATGGAGGCCACTGTCATTCAAACCATGACATTAGGATACTTAATTGGGCTAATTCTCTTGCCAAAGATATTAACTAAAAAGAACAGAGTGTACCAAAGGGTTTTAAAAAAATGTTAAAAATTTATAATTGAGAGGATTTATTGGGTTTGGAGAAATGCCTTATTTTATACTGAGAATATAGTAGAAGATTGAAAGTGAAGGATATATGTCATGCTTGAAGAATCTTAGCAGTTAACTAGTTATGAATAAGATTGGGACTTTCAGTGAAAACACTGAAATGTATTTTTTTTTAAGCACTAATATGACCACAAGTGAAAAGTTCTACGTAGGACACAAAAATATTTTAAAAGGTTATATAAAAGTACCTTCATACTATTTATATAATCATATGCCTCTATGACATAAATGGATTTTGCATTTAGATGCAATCCTTAAAATAACTCGTTTTATTTGCCAGTGTTCCAAAATTCAAAAAAATCTGTAAAATGTTAAATACTTTTGGTCCTAAACATGTTATATAAGAGATGTTCAATCTGTGATGTACTTGGTGCATGATGTTGTCAGCACTGTTTTGTGGTATTTGATGACCCTTATCTAGCTACATTAAATTCTAATAAGTGCAGTATATACATAAAATAGTAAAAAAATTGAAGTTTAATGTGTAATATTCCATAGTTCACTTTTAGACAGGTCTTGTTTTGGATGTGGACTCAGTATGTGTTTTAAAATTAAATGTACATTTTACAAAAGTTCCTTAGTGAAATCTACTTGTGTATCCTAAGGATAATTGCCAGTTTCTTTCTTTTGAGGTTGAAAGTCTTTCTAAACGCTATGAAGAACTGTATCTTAAAAACAAAGATTTAGATGCAAGACTATTTTTGGATCATGATAAAACACTTCAGACTGATCCTATAGACAGGTATTGCAATGACATTTTTATATATTGACATGCTTTTTATATAGATTGTATATAGATTAATAATTAACTCAGATATGTTACATAGATTTTTATCAATTTAGAGATCTTTTAACATCTTTTATAATAGATTATTCTCAAATGTCTTCATGTAGTACAATGGTAGTACTCTAAGCATACAGTTTAGTAACAAACAGTTAGTGTGACTTATAACTACAACAATTTTCTGGGTTTTCTTTTTTTCTTTCTTTTTTTTTCGTTATCTAGATAACTTTTTAAATGTGTACCAAAAGAAAATGATTGAACTAATTAGTTTACTTAAGTGGTGTCTCTTTCATTATATCCTTTTTATCCACTATTGCCTTGTTGATATTAAAAAAATTTTTTTAAGAAGAATATTCTCTTGGCTTACCAAGTAAGATTCTTAAGATAGGGAATGGCTGAGAGTATTACAGTTTTTAAATAATCATATGTAAAGATTATTTGACTCTTTATAAATAATTATTTTATTGTGAAATGAAAAATGTATTTAATTTAGAAATTAAACATAGTAAAATCTATTTAAGTAGAAATGAAATCCTTGGACAGCATAGTGCACTGAAAAAATGTCATCCGCAGTGTTTTAAGATCCCACATAGCTTGGCCGTTAACACCACCAGCCAGAAAACATCTACTTTCCAGAATGTTGTTCTCAATGTTTGGTATACCACTTTGCTGTAAACCTGTGGAAGGAGACCCATGCTTAAGAATAACGGTGAAAAAAATCATTCAGGCAGCACTTGAGTATTCCAAAGCACTTATCTTACTGAGAACGTGTATGATGCTCGGAATAACAGGAATTCTTAATTACTATTATTTGTTACTAATCAGTAACTGCTTTTTTACCCATAAACTCAAGTTTTAAATTTCAGTATGAATTACTTTACTTATCATTTAGTTTTGAAACAGAGAGGACGCCACGAAAAAGCAACCCTGATGAAGAGGCAAGCGTGGTCACCCCACAGACTCCAGTTAGGTATGCATTTTCCTCGTTCCAGCTCTCATCATCATTGTTTATTAAGTGCTGTGTAAGTGCTTCAGACTTGTTTGACTTTGTACTTGCACAACATGTAAATATTTTATGACTTGCTTAGGTTACAATATTCCTTGTTTGTATTTACATATAAGGAATATAACCCAAAATGTGTGTTCCATCTCAGAAAGAAAAACCATCAGTATTTGATGTTGCATAACCTAGAGTTATTTTTATGTCCCTTCCTCACTCATATCCCACTTTAGAAATCTATTACCAGATGTAGCTGAATGCTCCAGAGCATTTCTTAAATCCATGTGCTTTCCTCTATTTCTGTCTACTCTCACCACCTTTGTGCAGGACAGTGCTCTTTGTCTTGAATTTACCTATCTGATCATGCCCTTTGTTTCTTACAATGGTAGCTTTCCCTACCAAGAAATCTATTCTCCACAGAGTCTCCAAATAATATTCTATGGATGTAAATCAAATCATGTGTGTTGGTGGCTGCTCAAACGCTCTGGTTACTTCTAGTTGCATTTGGAATACAAAGCAAATTTCTTAACAGTCCTTAAGACCTTACATGACCAGGTTTTTGTTGCCTGGACAACCTCATCTTGCTCTTGGTTACTCTGTTTTGACCACATAACATTGGTCTTCTTTCAGTTTTTGAACTGTTAGCACTTTTGTACTTGAATGCCTTCATACTTGACATTCTCTATTGAAATTCTTCTTTCTATACACTCTTCCTTTATGTTCATAATATAACTATAAATCTATATATAACTATAAATCCATTTACATGTTTGTGTTTTTCACATAAACCAGCAATAGCCTTTAAATTTGTTTCCTATAGATCATGACTTTTCTGTTGACAGTTTTAATAATCAAGACCCAGTATGATGCTTGGTGCATTGTAAACAAGCAGTGATCCTTTTCAAATGACTGTGATTCTGCAAACAGTCTCATTTTCACACCAGCTTAAAGGTACACTTATGGTCAAGTTAATGAAGTCACACAGATTATATGAAATTATATTTCAGCTGAATTTTACTGAGAGGTAGTAGTACAAGAAGAGGCACTGAAATGTGGCACAGCTGCTCTGTATTGATTGTAAGATGAGGGAATGAATGAAGCATCAGGAATAGAAAACAGGTATTGTTATGCCATCCTCACATACTGTACTTGGTGCATGATATGGTCTGTGTTTTAAATGGGTGGTAAACATGAGTACGGATAAAAATAGACTTGATTTCTCAGATGAGAAGTGGCTTTTTTCCCCTCTTGTTTTCCTTAGAAAACTTCCTTAGAAGGCTTCGTTCACGCCAGACAAGCACTCTGTCATTGAGCTACACCAGTCTGGCCCAGACTTTATTTTTATAATTTTGCATATCAGTGGTTCATGGGGGAAGACTAAGTACAGAACAGCTTAGGAATAGAGCTATCAGTCTATCTTAGTGCTTAGAGCAGGGTGCAAATTAGAATAACCCAAGGAACTCTTTTCATTCTACATGCCTCTGCCTTTTATTCTTAGTGAGTGAAAAATATCTGGACTGACCAACTGGAGTAGTTCAGCTGAGACATTCCAAAGAGCTGAACCAAATGAATAGTGGTGGGAATGAAGGAGTAGGAACACGTTTGATAAATGTAGTGGATTCATTTTTAGTGTATCTGTCTTACAGCATTTATGTAGATCTCTAGTAAGCAGCAAGATGTAAAGCACCCATAGATCAGGAAGTTATCAGGGCAAGTTAAAAACATAAAAGTACCCACATCTGCCCAAAGAGAGGAAGTGTAGCAGCAAGAATAGATGGTAAAGGTTGACTTCTGAGGAGAGCTGTCATAGGAACTGGATAGAAGTTAGGCTGCAGTGAGCTGGTATGGCTTGGGAGGCAAGAGCATAAAGCCAAGAATCTGAGGGAAGGTGCTATGATCAAGAAAGAACAAGTGTTTGAGTCAGTTACTTCAAGGAAGTCTGCAATCGTTTGTTTTCAGTAGTTAGTTATTTGTGGCATTAGTCATTATGATTTGGATTTATCTATAGTAGCTATAGAAAATGTAATGTGTGAAAGTTGAAGTATAGAGAAGCCTGGCTAAGAACTTGACATGTTTTGTATTATATTTAAATCAGCCTTCCAGCCCTAAACAATCTGTGGTTCTTTGCATCCTTATGCAATGTCTCAAACATCATGCTACTATAAAACTGGAACACTTATCTTTATTATATACTACACACAAGTGTGTGTCTTCATGCAAAACTATAGAACTGTGGAGGTCCTGAGAGACTGGGCAAGTTTTATGCTTCAGCAAAAGTGACTTTTAAAAATTACTCAGGACTTTACTCTTCTTCTTTGAAGATCTCTATAAAAAAAGGTGCTTTCTGTTCTTCATTTGAGTTTCTGAATATCTTACCGTCTTTATTTGAAAGTGTGTAATATTTAAAGACAAGCATAGTGGTCCTCTCTTCTAATCTAATCTCCAGATTTTGGGGGAGGCTGAGTCAAGAGGGTTGTTGCAAGTTTGAGGCTAGCCTGTACTACATAGTGAGGCCCTCCTTGTCTTGGAGAGTGGCGAATTGACACTTACTTGTAATATATTCTTGAAAGAATAGCATTTTTATGCCAGTTACCTATGCATATAATATGAAAATTTAAGGTATATTTTCCTGAAAATTCATTAGTTAGAAGAATAATTCTCTATCAATAATAATATTGATAGTTTTATTAGTAGATGTATCACTTCTATTGTTATACTTATTGATAATACTTTTCTGAAAGGTTTAAGTAAAATGTAATTATTTTAAGCTGCAACATGGTAAGGGGTTTTATTTTATTTAAATAAGGTCTTATTTTAGGGAACTTCTTCAAGATAAATTGGCTACACAGTGTGTTAAAAGATGTGCTTACGTGATAGCTATGTTTCATTTTTTCTTTAATTTTTTTTTCCTTTGTTGCTTAATGCTTCTTCCTGTGTTTTGTTCTTTAGGACTGTTATGAATACTATCCAACAATTAATGGTGATTTTGAATTCTGCAAGTGATCAACCATCAGAAAATCTGATTGCCTATTTCAATGTAAGCTCTATATAAATCACTTTTTTGTGGTATCTTGAAAGAAACTTGAAATTAGAAGCTAAAGTACTAAGTATATTTTAAAACACCTATCTTCCATCTACCACATACTTACTTGGTATTTTATCTGTTGCTTTTTGAACCTCCCCAGATTTGATGATTATTTTATTTAAATATTGTTAGTTTTAGTTTTCTTATATTTACCATTTTCCTTACAACTTAGACGATCACCTCTGAGACACTTTCTTTTTTCATTCTCTCTGTCTCTCTCCGTCTCTCCCTCTCCGTCTCCCCCTCTCCATCTCTCCCTCCCTTTCCCTTCTTTTTCCTCCCTCTCCCTCCCTCTCTCTTCCTCTCTTCTTCTCTTCCTCTCTCCTCTCTCCTCTCTCTCTCTCTCTCTCTCCAGAGTTTCACTAAGTAGCCATAGCTGGCCTAGAACTGATTCAGAGACCAGCCTGCCTCTGCTTCCCCGGTGATGAGATCAAAGGTGTGTGCCACCACACCACTCTTCTTTTCCTCTCTCCCTTTTCCTTTTTTTTCTCATTTCTTTTTCTTCCTTCCTTCACATATGGTATATGGATCTCTCTGCATGTATGTGTGTTCATGAAGGCTAGAGGTCACCATCTGGCATCTTCTATAGCTCTTCATTTTTAAAGACAGGCTCTCTCACAGAACTTGGAGCTCACCAATTGCTATACTACTACTCAGTGAGCACCCAGGATTGGGTCCTCTTGTCTCTACCTCCCACTCTGAGATAACAGGTGCATTCTGCCACATCAGGCTGTTTACATGGGATCCAAGCTTAGGTTCTCATATTTACATAACAAGCACTTTACCCACTGAGCCATCTCACCAGTTCATATTTTCTTTTCTTTCTGTGGGGGACCTGCCCCCACTTTACCCTGGGTTCTCCTGGGGAGAGAGGGATAAGAAAATACCAGATAGAAAGAGAGACTTAGTTGACAAGAGGAAAGACAGAAACACAGGATAGCTTCAGGAGGACTTGGGTCAATATCCAACATCCCAGAACTTTATTCCAAAGTGCTTTTTATAAATGCCAAGGGGCGAGGCAAAAGACCTCCCCCTTGCTAGATACAGCCAAGATTTACCTTTCCAAACCTGGTAACCATGCCCGTGGTCCAGTCATCCTCTTATGCAGCTCTGCTGGGTAAAGCAAGCCCAGATTCTCTGACCTTGAGTAATTTGGGCCTCCACATCTCTGTTTCTCTCTTTTTGACTACTGCTCAGTATATATGCTTTTTATTATTAATTTTTAAGTTAGCATAGAAAGTAATGAATTCCATTATGTCATATTTATACACATGCGTCACTCTATATTGTAATTTATCTACCCCTGGAGTCTCCTTGCTGCACCCCTTCCCATTAGTTCTTCCTTCTGCTTTCACATTGTATGTTTTCCATTGTCTCTCCACCTGTTTCTCCTTCCCTTAAGATTCCTTCCTTTCCCATCATGGTCTCCTTTCTTCTTTCATACTACCCTCCCCCAATTTAAATCTAGCTTCTACATATGAGTGAGCAAAGGTACAACTTATAGGTTTCCTGATCTAGCTTATTTTGCTTGATACAATGATCTCCAGTTGCATCCATTTTCTGACAAATATGATTTCTTTTTTATAGCTGAATAAAATTCCATTGAATTTATGATAGACATCTACATTGGGTTCATTTCCTAGCACTTGCAAATAGTGCAAAAATGAACATGAAGCAAGTGTCTCCTGTGGGCTGCCTTGGAGTCCTCTGGCTGTGTACCCAGGAGTGGGACAGCTAGGTCTTAGGATAATTCTAGTCTCAGTGGTTTTGACACGTGAAGCTTGACAGATGGTCTCACGTATTTTTTAGATTGTCTGTTTGGTTTGGTCTGTTTTTCAGAAACTTCCATCCTGTCTTCTGTAGTGGTCATGTCAGTTTACACTGATACGCCACCAGGACCCTCCTGCCTTTGTTGTTGTTTCTTTTTGATAACCATTCTGTCTAAAGTGAGATAGAATCTCAAAGCAGTTTTAATTTGCATTTCCTATTTTACTAAGGCTCTAGGACACTTTCTATAATATTTATTGCATATTTGTATTTCTTCTTTTGAGAACCATCTGTTCAGTCTATTAGCCCAATGTTGATTGGATTATTTAGTTTGGGGTGCTTATTTTTTATAGTTCTTTGTGTATTGTAGGTGTGAAATGCATGTTCCTTGTGTGGTTGACAAATTTTTTTCTCACTCTGCATGCTCCTTGTGTGGTTGACAAATTTTTTTCTCACTCTGCAGGCTCTCTTTACTTTGCTAATTATTCCTTTTCCTGGGTAGTGTTTATTAATTCATGTAACCCCAACTGTTGATTCTTGAGATTATTTTTTGTGTTACTAGAATAAACTTTTCATAAAAAACAAGTTGACATGTTGGAGCAGCTTTTTCTTGGGTCCTCAAATTGCAGACTGCCAGGTATATTGACAGCCGTAGTGGAAGGTCAGTTGGGCTTGTCTACTTGTCTTCCTATGGTTTGTCCTAGTGTTGAGTCTGTATTGGATGAGTACCCCATGTCTGCTGATCCTGTCTTCACTTGAGTAGCTTCCCTTTTGTGCATACCAGAGGCACATGGTCACATTTGGTTTTGCAGTGTGTCACCCTCCCCAAACTCATTCTTTCAGATGCTCTGGGATGCCTAAATCATTGTGAATATGGGGCCTAATTGCAGCAGCATTGAGATCTGTAGAGAACAGGTGGAGAGCCTATCTTTGTACTTTCAAAACCTCCCAAGTATTAGTCAGCCTGGAGCAATTAGACTGTTAGAGTTTCAGACTTCTCATATTATAGGGAGTGAATGGCAAATAGATGGTCCCATGATTAATTCACCCACTGACATTAGGTCAGGACTTTCTAGCTACCAGGTCTGTTCCAAGCTGCTGAGGGCTTAATGTTTTACCTTACGTACTTTCCTGTCTAAGTTGAGCCTCGTGCCATTGGCTTTTGACTTGTCAAATTCTGGACCCCCTTCTCCTCAAAGTCCTCCCTCTGGGCTGTCTCCCCCAGGGCTGTGGCAGGTTAAAGTCAGGCCCCCTGACTCATAGTCCTCTGCTTTCAGACACAGGGTAGTTCAGTTTTAGATAACATGTCCATCTCACCATGGCCATTGTCCTTGGAGTCATACTGAATAACAAAATAGGATTCCTCTCCGCTTCCCATCTATTGGCTACAAGAATCCCTGTTTGGTCAAAACCCTCACCTAGATTTCAGGCTTGCAGGCTTGTTCTCAGACGACTCCATTCTCTTTTACTTTTTGGATGAGGTTTTTGCTTCCCCTCCCCCTCTCAGCCAGGGAGCCACAAGTAGTAGCTGGTTTTGGCATGGCTTACTTCTTTTCAGGTGTCTGTCACTACCTTTTGTGATTTCCAAAACTCTTTATATCTTTGGAATAGAGCATGGGTTTTCTTATTCTGACTCCTCCCCCACCTTACACAGGGCAACCTCTAGTCCACCCTTTTATCTGCGAGTCCTTTTCTTTTTTTCTTTAAATGTTTTCATTTCTTCTTTTAAAATTATTTCTTTTAATTTTGAGGTTATAAGCAAATTATTCCCTCTTCCCTCTTTTTCCTCCAAAGCTTCCCACAACAATTTCTTACAACAAGAAAGAAAATGAGTTAGTTTGGGGTTACTGGTATGTGGTTGAGAGAGAGAGAGAGAGAGAGAGAGAGAGAGAGAGAGAGAGAGAGAGAGAGAGAGAGAGAGAATGTCTTTACCCTTACTTTGTGATAGGTGCTTTAGCCTAGGCTGGCTTTGAACTCAAGATCTTGCCTCTACCATAGCTGGAAATTTTACTTTCTATATTAGTTCAGTTTTCTTCATATTTTTGAAAAAAAAAATGCTATCCCTAGGTACAAAATCTTAGAAATTATATAGTCATTTTGGCAATAGTGATTTCATGTCAGGAAATGGTGTATGTGTGTGTGTCTGTGTGTGTATCTGTGTGATATTCCTAAGATTAGTATGCTTTTTTCTTTAAGAAATAGAGAATTATTGATATTTTAAGGTGTGAAGTACCTTTTTAGTGTCACCATACAAGGAACTATAATTAATCATAATTTTAGAAAGTTTATTTTCTAGTGTATAATATTTCGAATATATATGATTATATATTTAATTATATAATCTAATTATAGGAAATTGTATTATAGGATATAAATAATGATTGTGATATATTTTAATATAGCATAATATAATAATAAACTATTATAATACATCACACTACTTAGTGGAGTGCATCATATTCTGATGTGTTTTAATTACCAAAGTTGACATATTTATACTCCACATGATACTATTTGTATTTGTAACTTTCTCCTGTCTTGTTTACCTGAAAATAAATGATTTGCCTAATTCTTCATTAACTTATAGCACATTTAATTAGGAAATGAAACCAAACACAAATCTTACTTTTACTTCTTCATTTGCTTTTGGGTTGCATACATCTTAAAGTAACCCCTTCTTTTCAGAGATTTTTTAAAAAATATTTTTATTTTATGTATGTGGATGTTTTTGCCTGCATTTATATTTATGTACCACATGCATGCAGTACCTGCAGAGGCTAGAAGAGTTCTTTGGATCTCCTGGGACTGGAGTTAACAGAGGATTATAAGCCTCCCTTGAGTGCTGGGATCAAATCCAGGTCCTCTGGAAGCTAGTACTGTTAATCACTGAGCATCTCTCCAGCCATGTAAAGTAATTCTTAACTGTGAGGATACTTAATGAGAATATATGATAGATGGAAAGGCTGATAAATCTTTTGTCTATAGCCTTTATTTGTTTAAAACAGTTGTTCTCAACCTGTGGGTCACAACCCCTTTGGGGGTTGCAAATTAGATTTCCTGCTTATCATATATTTGCATTATGATTCATAACAGTAGCAAAATTATGGTTATAAAGTAGCAATGCAATAATATTAATGATTGGGGGTCACCACAGCATGAGTAACTAACTGTATTAAAGTGTTGCAGCATTAGGAGTGATGAGAACCACTGGTTTAAAACTTTAGATAACAACAATGTACTTTCATTACATTGAATAATTTTAGTTTTAACATACAATAGATTTCTATGTTGGCTGGTTATATTCTGTATTGTCAATTTTGTCATAGTGGAAGGGTTTACTTGTTTTTTATAAACAAGTAACAGATCAAAGTCATTTACTGTGAAAGAGAAAAATGTTAATTCTGGTCAAATAGTATCCTCAATATTTATTTCTGTTTATATTTCTTAAAGAATTGCACAGTGAATCCAAAAGAAAATATCCTGAAAAGAGTAAAGGATGTTGGACACATCTTTAAAGAGAAGTTTGCGAATGCTGTGGGGCAGGGGTGTGTTGACATTGGAGTGCAGGTAACTTGAGCTCGCACCTGTTAGTGCCACAGTATAGAAATCATCTGTTTATACAGTCTGAGCTGTGGGAGTATTTACGTCATAGTATAAGATAATGGCAGGTGGCAAATATCCCAGCTGCTGTGTTTGCTGCTACTTATGGGAAACTGTATGTGAACTCCCTCTTCAGTCCAGTATACAAAACAAAAATGAATATGCTAATGACAGCAATTTAAAAATTAAGAAAAAATTAAAGTCTATGTATGCATGAATAGGATTACATTATACTACCACTTGCCAGTGTTCTTATTGATCAATACAATTTCAGAAATAAACTAATATATTTGGTAAGACTACATGGGTTGAGTTAAGCCTGAGTTTGTACATAGCTTTGCTGTTTATGAGCTATATAGTTTTGAACATGTTGTTTAAGTTCTCTGAGACTGCTTCTGGGTCTGGCTTGCTTTGTTACATGACATTAGGGTAATATAATAAGTAAGTCTAAATATAATCTACTGTATATATTTATTCCAGTATGTTGAGTTTATATTTTGATGCCACTGGTTAGTTTAAACCAGCGGTTCTCAACCCATGGGTTGCGACCCTTTGAGGGGGTCAAACGACCTGTTCACAGGGGTCGCCTGAGACGATCAGAAAACACAGATATTAACATTATGTTTCATAACAATAGCAAAATTACAGTTATGAAGTAGCAACGAAAATAATTTTATGGTTGGGGGTCACCAGAGCATGAGAAACTGATTTAAAGAGTTCTACATTAGGAAGGTTGAGAACCACTGGTTTAAATGATTATACTTAAAATTCTTTTGAGTGCATGTAGTACTTACGTTCTTGTTTTAGAGTACAGGAGTATCGTGTGTGTGTGTGTGTGTGTGTGTGTGTGTGTGTGTGTGTGTGTGTGTGTGTCTGTAATTTAAGCACCAATTTTTTTTAATTTATGAGAACTAATTATTTGTTTAAAGCATTTACTAATTAAATCAACTTTGGTTTCTTGGGTTTTTTGTTTGTTTTTGGGCTGTGCCAGTGTTAATGAGTTTTACAGACAGAAACTACTCTTTTAATCTTAGCCATTTCAAAAACAAATGTTTGCATCACCAAAAGGATTATATTAGATGTGTAAAGTGCTTAAAATAGTATTGGGCATATTTCTCTGTGGAGCAAGTGACACTGGCTGAAACAGAGCAGAGGGACATCATCAGTTCCTAGATATACTAGTCTGGTTAATTTATTGGGAGTGCTAACTACTAGTTTATAGGAAGCCTTAGACTTTAAACAACTAGCTTTTATGATCTCTTACTAACCATGTTCCTAGAAGGGTAGAGTATGTTTCAGGAAAAGACTTTAACAAAAATTAGTTAAGTTCTTGATTTTCTAAAACAATGAGCTCTTAATATTTCCCTTTTGTTTGTAGAGATATAAACTTGGCGTCCGATTGTATTATCGTGTGATGGAATCCATGCTTAAATCAGTAAGTTAAAGAGAATAAACTTGAAAAAAATCAATGCTGTCATAAAGTTTCAATTAAACTTTTAAAAAATTATCTGTTTTAGGAAGAAGAACGTTTATCCATTCAGAATTTTAGGTAAATATTTTCTAGTTTTAATAAAACAATTTCTTTTTATAAAAGCCATATTTAAAATCATTTATTCTTTTCCCTCTTTTAGCAAACTCCTAAATGACAACATCTTTCATATGTCTTTATTGGCCTGTGCTCTTGAAGTTGTAATGGCTACATATAGCAGTAAGTTAAGTTTTAATAATTTAATTTAATTTAACTGTAATTTAATTAATCGAAAGTAAAGAAACCCTTAAGTTATCTTATGGGTTCTTTGTTATTGTTTTTGTTTTGTTTTGTGTGTTTATCTGTGTGGTGAGAAGAAGTCATACTGTAGATCACTTTACACTGAACACTGTGATTGGCTGTTACAGCTATTTAAATGGCTAACATGTCAAACATTTCAGGTCATCTGGGGGGTAGAATTCATGAGGCTTCTGCTCTGAGCATATTGAGTCCAGGAAAGGTAGCCAATGAAACTGCTACTACAAAGGCTTCTGAACATGTAAGGTGCCACAGGAGTGTTGAAGAACAGCCCGTCTTGTATGTAGTACTGTTTTGCCTCTGTGCTCAGAGACCAAGAGCAGGAATCCACCAGAAACTGGATGCTTAGTAATTGGTTGCTGCTTTTATAATAGCTATGAAAATTTAATGATTGTTGAAAAGAGCAGAATAAAACCCAATAACTTTTTTAAATATAATTTGAAAAAATATTACTTTTCAAACGTTGTAAATAGTAAAAAGTTTTACTTGTAGAAACAAAGTGGAACAGTCATCTAAAGATACAGCTAGACAGTAAAAGAAGTTAAATTAGTAATCACTGAAACTGAACACTCATAAATAACCACAGTATGCACATTTTTAAAGAGAGATCATTTTCCAACAACGTTAGCAAAGTCTCTTTCCCATTTCTTTTCGCAGTGTTGAGAACTGAACCCAAGGCAGGGACTAGGCATTGTTTTTAAGACAGGATCTCACTAGTCCTTGAACTCAAGTCTGTAGTAGCCTGACCAGGTCTTGAACTTGTAATTCTCCTGCCTCAGCCTGTTGAGTATCTGGCATTATAGGCCTGCAGCACCAGATTTGAGGCAGGGTCTCATAATGTAGTGCTGGCTGTCCTGGAACTTGCTCTGTAGACCAGGCTGGCCTCTCTCTTCAGAGTGCTGGGATTAAAGGCATGTGTCACCACTACATGGCTAATTAGCAAAATCTTAAAAGCATCATTGGTCTTCTCAACCCAGCAGTCATGGTAGTTAAAATGGGTATGGGAATGGATACTTGCCTGGATATTAGTGAAGGCTATGTACACCTGTACAAGTTCGGCAAATTATTATTCCTATCTCTAAGAAAAATGTGTGGACATACACTTAAAATTTGGAAGCCTATTTCTTGAGAGTCTGTAGACCACAGAATAAAAAATATCTGATTTAAGTAAGAATTGCTTACCCCTTTTTCTATATTTTGAGTCTGTGTGATAAGATCTTCCAAATCTCATCAGTTCAGTCCTTAACATTTCTTATTGACACCTTTTTTTCCCTCTTATTTTAGGAAATACATCACAGAGTCTTGATTCAGGAACAGATTTATCCTTCCCGTGGATTCTGAATGTACTTAATTTAAAAGCCTTTGATTTTTACAAAGTGATTGAAAGTTTTATCAAAGTGGAAACCAACTTGACAAGAGAAATGATAAAACATTTAGAAAGATGTGAGCATCGAATCATGGAATCCCTTGCATGGCTTTCAGTAAGTGGCTAGCTAAATAACTGAAGGTATTCATATGTACACGACTAACTACCTGTTAATGAGAAGTTATTTCTTTAATGAATAATCCATGCCCAGCCTGAGATTCAAGTGGAATATAAGAATGGATTTTGTGTGGGTGGATGTGCATTCCTAAGTGTGAATGCAGGTGTGTAAGTTGCTTGTTTTTCTGCTGTGAACACCACCAGGCCAGTTGGCCTGTTGAGCTTCCTGCACCATCTAATGCATTTGTTTAGGAGCAAGTTTTCACAAAGCTTGACACATTAAAAAAAGTATTGAGATAATTTATTTAAAATCCAAGTGTTATTGTTAATAATATAAATGTTTACACTTTTTAACTAAATTAAAAGCCCGAGATTATGTACATTTTTCTGTTTTGTCTGTTTGATCATTTTGTCCCAGTCTTAAAGATAATACAAAGTCCACACTATTGTTTAATAGTAGATATTGTTTTATAGCATTATAGGAGTGGAAGCTATGTGCTGTAGGCATTTTAGTTATAGCATATAAGCTACTGATAAAGCTTTTGTTTTAATAAAGGAAGCATCCCCTATGTAGTAACTATAAGATAGTCCCCTATCGTACTGTTATTTCTTCAGGTCTACTTTACTGGATAATACCTTGTGATTCACAAGATTTGCAGATTTTAAAATAATAATTTAAACTGTGTTGCATGCTAAGCATATTTAGTTTGAACCTCAGTATGAATGAATTTCAAGGTTTGAAGCATCTCCAGTTTGGTATTTTTGGATTAGGAATGCTCAATCAGTGAGAGTCTTATGCAAATGCTTTTATTTTTCATGTGTTGTTAATGTCTGAATTTTATATTATATTTTAAATTATAAAATTATGAGATTGGTAGTGGATAACTTTGTGAAGATAAGCCATGCCATGCAAATATGATAGTGTGTATTTTTCCTGTGAGAATGATGGTCATTATGTTGGAAAGCATATCACATATACGTGAGCTTTCACAGACTTAAAAATAACTGAAATATGATACAAACACACACAGGAAAATAAAAATTTCAGGTGACAGTTGGATGAGTTTTTCATAAATTGAGTGCATCCATGTAATGAACAGCCAGGTCAAGACTCTCACAAGGTTTCATAGACTTTTGATTCTGTATTTCTAAAAAATTATCTCATTAACACTGAAACCTGATGGGATTGTATTCACATTGTGTTGTTGACTGAGAGGGGGAAATAAAATGAAGTAATAATAATTTTCATCCCACTTAAAATATGTGTGCATGTGTACATGTACTGAAGATTGAACCCAGACCACATAGCCTCTGCCTTGGTCCAGCTCCATTCTGTACTTGTAACTTTCCTCAGCTGATGTCCTGTAGTCCAGGCATCTGTAACATCCTCTGGTCTTCATGGCAATGTAGGCTTCACTTTCACAGCTTCATATAGTAGCCTGTCAAGGCCTACTTGCAACTGAGGGCCAAGTGTTAAAAAACGTGAGAATGTGGGAGACATTTTAAATCATAGCATATCTGTTATGACTCCAAAACATTTATTTTTATTTTATGTGTCTTGGTGTTTTGCCTGCATGTATTTCGGCAGGGGGGGGGGCACGGGGTGTCAGATCCCCTGGAATAGGAGGTACAGACAGTTGTGAGCTGTCATGTGGGTGATGGGAATTGATCCTGGGTCCTCTGGAAGAGCAGCCAGTGTTCTTAAGTGCTGAGCCATCTCTTTAGCCCCCTGTTTACTTTAATTTTAATGTGTTTTTTTAAAAGATTTATTTATTTTTACTTTATCTGTATTACTGTTTCTTTGCATGCATGCATCTATATAGTACCACATGCATGCTTGTTGGATCCCCTGAAACTGGGGATAGTTGTGAGCCACCAAGTGGGTACTAGGAATCACACTTGAGTCCTCCACGAGGGCAACAAGTTCTCTTAACTGCTGAGTCCAAAAGTTTTCTGTTTAATTCATAAGTCAACATTTGTTTCTATTAGTACATGAGATTTGAAAGGGTTTTCTCTGCCCTTTTATTTATCATGTTTTAATGATTCTCTTTGCTTTTTGTGGTAATATTCTATCTGCAGTCATGCTTCCTTTATTGTGTTTATTACCTGTAATGTCTACCAGTCATTTATTATCTTTATATCTCATTGGGTGACTTAATATGTATAAAGCACTAAAAACAGCATGTGGCATGGTATTATCAGATGTAGCAGTTAATTATATAAGGCTGAGTAAGGGGCAGAGGGGATCAACTTACAATGAAATTCAGGTTTCTGGCTTGTATAACCAAGTGAACGATAGTGTCTTTTAAGAAAATAGATAACCTGGATTGAATGTAATTTTTTTGAGGATAAACTTCAATTTATTACATTTGAGTTTGAAATAATTACATTCACATTGAGGTGTCAGTTGTATATATGTGTTGAGCTTAGGAAAGAATCTTAGGCTAGGAATATGGATTTGAGAGCTGCCACACATATATAATAAACATTACCAGTCTTTTTTTGACAAGTTATCTTATGCTGGTCAGTTTGGTAAGCACCTCTTAGAATGTCATTACATTTTAAAAAATTAATCATTGCATTCTCATAGTAGTCTAGATGAGGAAATGAATACCTGGAAGCTTGGGATGTTTCCTCAGACCTTACATGCCAAGTGTCAGAGCTCTCATTTGAATCTTGGTGTGCTTTGTCCAAAGCTGGGTACATTACCTAAGCAGAGTATGTAATCTGGGGAAACAAGACTACAGGTAGAACCCCAAGGACATTGAAAGGATGCACAGAAAAGAGAAGATTTTGCCTACAAAAAAAGTGAAATAAAGCAGCCGGGGGGGGGGGGGGGGGGGGGGGGGGGGGGGGACACACATCATGAACGAGAGGGTTGCAGAGTCTGAAGGAAAACTTGCCTGTTTGAGATATGGTAGAAGCAACCAGGGAAACTAAAACTTCTAGCAAGGAGGAAGTCAGCAGTCATAAGATCAAGGACTGTCCATGAAGTGGTGAGGAGGGAGAGACGTGAACAAGAGACACAGGTGGTGGCCGTGACTAAGCACAGAGCAGAAGCGGCCACCACTGTAGCAGTGCCAGCTCTGTGAAGATGGGGAAGGAATCACTCCCAGTGTTTTCTGTTGCTAGGAAACGGTTTAGGGCAAATGATTATTTGATCTTGCTCATGACTTTTGTGAGATGGGCTTTGGGAATAGCTTTACAGAGTACTTGCTCTCTGACCCTGTGGTGTCAACAGCCTGGGGCCAGTAGACCTGCTTCCAAGATTCTCTTCACTGCCAAGTTCAGACTTTTGACTCTCACTCACACTTGCTTCTTCCTTTCTCTTCTTCACACTCCCATCTTGCCCTATGGTCTAGTACGAAAGCTGTGCTTCCTCAAAGCATTTTGGTTTTAGGGTAGGCACACTTCTGACATAGAAGCTGGGTTCCAAAAGGCTTCTGAGAGGACCGTATCTGGAAATTACCTTCTTCTGGTCAAAGCAGTCACAGTGGACCAGGCAGTGGTGACGCACGCCTTTAATCTCAGAAGTCAGGAGATAGAAGCAGGTGGATCTCTGAGTTTGAGGCCAGTCTGATGTACAGATGAGTTCCAGGACAGCTAGGGCTACATAGATAAACCCTATCTCCAAAAACAAACAAACAAACAAACAAACAAAAACAGTCACAATGGTTGCCAGGCTGAGGGGATAGGGGGATGGATGCCACCTCCTGTTTAAGGAGAGACAAGGTCACATTTCAGAAGAGCATGTGGGTTTCAAAATACTTCTGTGGCAAAAGGAAAGAACGAGAAACACAGTGAGTAAGGTAGTTTGTGGTGTGCCCTGCAGGAAACTGAGGAAGTTTCAAGTTAATGGCTTTTCAGTTTTGTGTTTGTTTCATAAAATGGAGCTGAGGTGATTTACTGAGGGTGAGGTGGAGAAGATTCAGTGGCACTTAAAAGTTGGAGGAGACTGGTTGTGACTTGAAATTGTTACTGTGGGACCAGATGGAGAGAGTGGACTGGTGAAGGAGAAAAGAATTGCCCTGCAGAATTCCAGGCACTTTTGAGGACAGAAGCTATTCATCTGTTGTCCCACCACAGTTCTGTATGATGGCATTCTTTCCCCAGAATCTTCTTGGAGCTATTTGTAAGATTAGAAAAGGTGAGTTATTAGGTGAATTCGGGAGGGCATTACAATATAGCTAGGTAGACACAGTAGGGCAGTAGTGGGGCCAAGAATCTGAGGATGTTGGCCAGAGAATGGTTAAGGTTAAGATTAGAAGTTTTAACTGCTGGAGCCTAATGAAATAAAGATTTCAATTAGCAGGACCTTTTAGTGATGTTTGACGTGACAGCGTGATGGGCGGAGATAGGAGAAATTTAGTCTTAATGTTAAGAAACAGACATTTTTGTATTCACAGAAATGATCTTGGGAGAGTGTAGACTGAACAGGGACGGATGTGAGAGAAAGAAAAGATTCAGGAACTAAGGCCAGGAAAGGGTCAGAGCCACCCAGGCCATGTGTGGCATAATGTGAACAAGGGGCTAAGATTTCAGTGCAGAGGGGCCAGAAGGGCAGAGGCAAAAGGCCTTGAAAAACTAGAATTTTATGATCTTTGACCAAGTTGCTAATCAGTTGTTATGAAAAAACTGTCTGTCTGGTGATACATCTGTGAAACAACTGTCTCATGTTAATAAATCTGCTTCAGCTTTCTTTTGTTACTACTGACATGGCTCCCTCCTCCTTTAATTTTTAACTGATTTGTGTCTTTATGCTTAAAGTAAGTATCTTTATAAAGTAGTAAATTGTTGAGTCTTGCTTTTGGTTTTTGTTTTCTACTAATATTTAATTTCTCTCTCTCATTTCCTTTTTTCTCTCTCTTTTTCCTTCCCCTACTTCCCCTCTTCTCTTTTCTATTTTTCTTTCTTTCTTTTCTTTTTTTTCTTCTTTTTGGAGGCAGAGTCTCCTGTAGCTTTGTTTGTCCTGGAATCATTATACAAAACTCCAAAGCA